ACCTTGGTTATGTGGCCATGGCATAACATAACATGATTGGTTGATGCTTGAGTCAAGTGCCCACTTCTGGAGCTAGGGATGGAGTCAGCCCCACCTGAACCACATGGTTTACGGGGCTCATCTGGCTAATGAGAAGCACAGGATTGAGTCTGGGACTGTCTAATTGCAGTCTTTGTTCCCACCTACTTCTCTACCTGCCTTCAGTTCTAGAAAACAAATGTATGTCTCTTACAGAATATTTGGAAAGTAGACAAAAGTAGACAAAAAGATGATTAAAAATGACTCGGCACTAGCCACTATGGACCTACTGGTCTATTTCCTTGCAGTCATTAAAAAAATCATATCTTTTTCTTTTTAACACACTTCATTCTGTATGATAGCTTTTTGTTGCCTTGATTTGTCTCTGGTCCTTTACTAATGCCCAGCTAAGTCTCCATATTCCTTCATGTTGAAATATGATCCCTGTGCAAAAGAGTTCTGTAAATTATGAATCCCCATGCAACTATTAACTCTTCTTCCTATTATGCAGCTCACCCAGATTTTCCAGATTCTTTATTGTGTCTCAAGTGGCTGCTCTCTGGCTCATGGGTCCCCAAGCACCTAGCAAATTGGCTCTCTATTCCACAGATTCTCACACTTTAGAGCACACGAGAAATCCTCAAGAGGCTAATTGAAAATGCACATCCCCAGACTCTACCTCTAGATATTCGGAGGTGAAGTAGGTAGAGAAGAGCTCAAGGAATATTTCTCTATTTGTAGTCTACCAGATTTACCACTCATGCAGAGCTATGTACAAAATTATATGTGTACAGTTTGGTGAATTTTCAAAAAGTGAAAATGTCCACCTATACTACTTCCTTGGGTTGTCATTCATTTATTCTCATTGCTATATTGTACTTAATTGTATATACTACACTTACTTATTCATTCTGTGTAGATGGACATTTGGGTTGTTGCCAGGCTGTTTTGGGTGTTACACATACTGGGGCTATGAATATTTTTGTAGATGTATTTTGATGAACACATATATGTATTCTTCCGAGTATATGCCTAGGAATGGAACTGGTGAATCTTACTGCATGCATATGTTCAGCTTGAACTGATATGTCAAACAGTTTTTCCAAAGTAAAAATTTTCAAACCTTATTCTCATACTTGCAGTACATGGGATGGGAGTTCCAATTGCTCTGTATCCTTTGAACACTTGGCTTTATCTGTCTTTTTTATTTTGGTCAATCTGTGTAGTGGTGTTCCATTATGGTTTTAGTTTTCATTCTCCTGATGAGCTTGAGAAAATTTTCATAAATTTATTGGCCACTTGGATACTGCCTTGGATAAGGGCTTCTTCACCCTTTTGTCCATTTTTCTAGTTGCCTACCTCTTTCTGAAAGATACATAGCATTCTTTATATATTCTGGATTTGAATTCTTTACATTCTATACACATTCTTTATATTTTCTTCTACTCTGTCACCTAGCATTCTCTTAATTGCATCTTTTGATTAAAAAAAGTTCCTAATTTTATCCATTATTTTTTTGTGCATAGTGCGTAGTGCTTTCCCATCCTGTTCAGGAAATAACTGGTTACTTCAGTCATGCAGATATTCTTCTCTAATTTTCTTTTTCTTTTTTCTTTTTTTTAAAGATTTTACTTATTTATTCATGATAGACATAGAGAGAGGGGTGGGGGCAGAGACACAAGAGGGAGGAGAAGCAGGCTCCATGCCGGGAGCTTGACGCGGAACTCGATCCCGGGACTCCAGGATCGTGCTCTGGGCCAAAGGCAGGCGCTAAACCACTGAGCCACCCAGGGATCCCCCCTTCTCTAATTTTCTACAAGTTAGTTTGGGCAGATAACTTTCTATTTTTTATTTATTTATTTATTTATTTTTTAAAGACTTTATTTACTTATTCATGAGAGACACAGAAAGCAAGGCAGAGGGAGAAGCAGGGCTCCATGCAGGGAGCCCGATGTGGGACTCGATCCCAGGTCTCCAGGATCACACCGTGGGTGGAAGGCAGCGCTAAACCACTGAGCCACGGGGCTGCACGGGCAGATAACTTTTTAAAAACCAGCACTTAGGTAGCTCTGATGCAAACAGTCTACAAATTATGTCCTATGAAACACTGCAATTTTCTGCTCTAAACCTCACACATCTTTTCAGAGCTTTGTGCCCTGCCCTCTTGCTCAAAGCAGGATGACCATGAACTTCCTTCTTCAAGGTGGACTTGTATGGTGGACATTCACCATCTTTAGGCTATCTTTTCTTTCCACGCAGTCTTGTAGTAGGTACACACTCTCACAGCTTGTGGGGGCCATATGTGAATGGGTAAATTTGATGGCATGCAGACTGTGGTAGCCAGAGAAGAATGAATGCCCACAGAGGGGCAGCAAATGCTTGACCCCAGTCAATTACTGCTACATGAGAATGAGGGCCCTGAACTATAGATCTTCCCATTTTCAAAGCAAAGCCAAGAATCTGGGTTATGCAAAATATCCCAAGTTCTGACTGATGTCAAGCAATTCAAATTTGAACTTTAAAAATTCAGTGTATGGGGGAATGCCTGGGTGTTTCAGTTAGTTAAGCATCTGTCTTCAGCTCAGGTCATGATCCCAGGATCCTGGGATCAAATCCTGCATTGGGCTCCTTGCTCAGCGGGAAGCCTGCTTCTCCCTCTGTCTGCTGTTCCCCTTGCTTGTGCTCTCTCTCTCTGACAAATAAAAAAATAAAATCTAAAAATAAAAAAATAAAAATAAAAATTTACCATGTGGGAAAAGAAACAAAGAATAACAAAAGAGAACCAAAAAAGGAAGGAAGGAAGGAAGGAAGGAAGGAAGGGGAAAGAAAAATGATATTTGTGGGTTCGTGATGGCCTCTGACCTTGAGGCTATCAGTTTTCAAACTGTCCCAGAATGAGGAAGCAGGCTACCACTCCAAGTGTGATGCTGGAACCAGCAGATGTATCACCTGGCAGCACATTAGACACACAGAACCTTAGGCTTTCAACCTACCGAGGTAAAGTCTAAATTTTATCAATATCCTCAGGCAATTCATACACATATGAAAATTTGAGAAGCATCAGTCTAGATGTGTGATTCCCAACACTGGCTCAAATTAGAATCAGTTGGGGAACTTAAAAGAATTTTTATGGCTGGGCTGACTACAAACCATGTAAATCAGCATTTCTGGAGACGTGGTCTAGGCACTGCTATTTTTAAAAAGCAATCTGAGTGACTCAAATAGGCAGTCAGAGTTGAGAACCACTAACTTAGATCCATCTCTCATTTATGAGTGGGAAAAGTGAAACCTCAGAAAACGGATGGATGAAACGTCTTGCCTAAGGTTATTAATTAATGTATGGGAGAATCTGATTTGTGCTCAACCTCTTATCTCATGATTCCCAAGCCAGTGCCTTTTTGCTACAGTTACCTTTGGTTCCTGGGGGCAGAACTACAAAATGATCCAGTTCAACTGTAGCTCATTACTGCCTGCTTTCCAGCTAAGCTGCTTTTAACACTGAACCCCTAACAAGATTGACTGGATGAGGAGCTATGAGCTGACGGGCCCCTCCTTCTGCCTATCAAACCCAAATCCATTTCATTCTCCCTCCATCACCCCAAAAAGTGTTAACTGCTCCTGCTATGGAGAAATAGAATCTGGTCCTCCACTGGTGTCTCAAAATCTCTCTGCATAGGCAAGGAGCACAGAGTAGAGGCACAGACTCCTGGTAGCAATGTGAGGATTTGGGGTCAGCATTAATCAGCTGTGAGTGGATGGAGTGTGATGGCTGGTCCCTATCACTCTTGGGCTGTATCAGTAGAAGAACAGGTCCAGAATGCAAAATGGGTTGATCTGCTTGACTCTGACCTAGCACAGTTTTATAATCAAAGAAACTGGGAAAATTAGGTGAGGGACTTGCAAACAATGGTTGAGCCAAGACTCCTAATCCCTCTTTCTAGAACCAGGCAGCTTATAATATTCTGACCCCATGGTATAGTCTTTGAGCAATTTCATGGTCAAAGGAACAGAGTAACCCAAAGTAATGTGTTAAGGACTTGAATTCTCTTGTATTTTGGGAATACCATGAGGGAGGCCCACATTTCATAGTGATACTTGTGAAATTTCCTTCTATTCTTTTATATCCACTGCCTCGTGATTTTTAGCTGTACTCTCTTCTCTTTTCAACGCTCTGCCATCAAAATAGCCTTCTCCCTAACCCCAGCTGTGCCATGATCTTCTTTCTTTTCCTTTTTCACTTCAATTCTACAGTGGCAAAGACAGGAACATTTTGGAGATCTGAGGAGAAATCCCATACAGGACTCTAGTGGTCAGACAGTCTGGGGACCATCAATACATTACAAGCATGCCCCAGGCGTCTCCCTAATGATGCTACCCTCTCTCCCTCTATGGTAACACTTCTGTTATCCACCCATTGATCTTAAACCTCACCGCAGTCAGATCTATAATGACCTTGTAGGTTCAACATATATGGAGCATTTTCAGTGTCCTCAGCCATGGGACTCAGTCTGACCTGTGGGTGGGAATCTTTTTAATTTTATTTTAAATTTTTATTTATTTGACACAGAGGCGGACAGAGGGAGAGCATGAGCAGAGGGAGTGGTAGGCAGAGGGAGAGGAGGAAGCAGGCTCCCTGGTCACTGGGGAGCAGGGAGCCTGATACAGGGCTTGACCCCAGGACCCCAAGATCATGACCTGAGCTGAAGGCAGACGCTTAACTAACTGAGCCACCCAGGCCTCCCTTATTAACTTGTTTTAAATAAAATGGGGATACACAGGCTACTGCAGTATTGACATAGCAAGTATAACAGGTCTTTGATAACAGTTGAGTACTAAATAATTATAAGGCAATGGTGATAGCGGAGAGAATTCCTTCATGCCACCAGCCCAGGAGAAAAAATTGTCACTTGACAAAGACTTGTAGTCCATGCTTATCACTTGCTTACACTCACACAAATGATCTTTCATTTGATCTCTTCCAGGTAAAGAAACTCCTTCCAAGAATCCAACCGTATCAAGTGAGTGTATAGCCTTATCTGAAGACAAGGAAAAATGTTTCGTGCCACAGAATATGACTCCAGGTATCTAAACCCCAAATAGAAGCCCTATTTTTTTTAAAAAGTATTTTCCATATCGAATTCCACAGTAACCTCTTTATCTCTCCCATCTGTAGGCTCCCTTTCTTTTATCCTTTCCAGGCACCACCATCAAATGCATCTTTGTAGGCATGACCTCGACTATGGTATTCACTTGCTCACAAATCTTCCAATACTCTCCATTGCCTGCAAGATTAAGTTAAAACTCCTCAGGCTGACTCTCAAACCTCTTCACAATCTGGCACATATTAGGAGCTCCATACATATTGGCCCTACTAAAGAAAATACATTAGCAAATAAATTTTAAGGTGCCGGAGGGCAGGGATAATTTTTTTGTAGACTTAGGTATTTATTGTGCATGGCATCTAAAAGAGTTATTTGTACATAGTTGGTGCTTAGAAAATATTTAGTAAATAAATACACAAATTGTTGAATAAATATGTGGAGGTCATGTTTATATTCTATATACAGTATCTTATACATAGCACATTCTCAATAAATACTTGTTAAATAAACGAATAAGCAAATAAAGGGTTGAATATGTGGAGTGAGATTGGCGGAGCAGAAGAGCACATGTATGAATCTTTCAGAATCAGAAAAAGATTCTGAAATTAGTGTGAAAGAAACCTTATTCTCAAGACACATCTTTCACAAGGCTCCCACTAAGAGACCTCAGTGAAGCTGGCAGGGAGTTGGCATCAGAGGGTAGTATACCTGGGCTGAACCTTGTACCAGAAGCTCTGAGGATCAACCTGCAGAAGACTCAGTGTTTATTGTATAGTAACAGGGATCATTTTGGGGGGCTAATCATGTGCCAAGCATGTGCTAAATGATTCCTCTCATTCTCACATGCTCACCTCTGGGAGGTGCCACCAAACTCCCCATTCCAAAGGTGGCCAAGTCTCAGAGAGAATGGCATCTTCCCCACTGCCACACAGCTAGTGAGGAGAAAGGCATTCAGACCCTCATCTTGTTCACGGCCACGATGGAGGTGCATCTTTGTTCCTCCCTGGCATACAAATGATAGATTTGTGGAAAAGATTTACATTAAGAATGTTTCAAAGAACATAAACCAGGTAAATGGATAGTGTTCATATGTCATATCAGGTTCTTTCTTTTCCCAGTTTCAAATTCTGTCAAACAGCTAGGCTGACAATGAGAACGACCTTGCCCTTTCTTGTTCTATCAATCTGCTTGTCTGTTAGCTTGTCCTTCAGAAAAGGTGACTCGCCACCGGTTGTTTCCTGAATGCAGTGTAGTCAGCATTTTGCCTTAATAGTGCCATGAAGGCCAATGAACAAAGGGTACGTGGAGGGGCTGAACTTGTCTGTCTTATAGCCTTTACCACTCTGGTGCTGTTTCCAGGAAAGTCACTGAGCAAGAAGGGGGCATTCCGCTCCAGCCTCCAATCTCTCCTTGACGCGGAAGAGTCACAGACAAAATCAATCAGATACATTAGCATGATTAAACAACCAGTTTTCAGAAGGATTTTTAAAAAATGACAAAGTATACTTCACACTGACACTGGAGTGAACTTGATTTATTCCCTTGTTTTGGTCATGCTGAAGGCACTGCAGGATCCCACAGTGGCCCAGGCAGGAGGCTCTCAGTGGCAGCTCTGGCCTGTTGAGATCTCAAAGGCAGTTTGCTTATTTAAGTCCAGGTCTTTTGAGTGACAAATCCATGGATTCAGGTGCAGGACTAGGAGATCCACACTGAAGGGGCTGCCATTTGCGGGAGCTATTGTGAGAGATTCTAGAAGGGAGTTTGGATCACACTTTGAAAGGACAGGAGAAATGGATTTGGTGAAAAGGAGTCACAGGATTGGTCAGAGTCAAGGTTGATTACAGATGTGACAAGATGAGGGCAGAGGGAGCAGTAATTGCTGCAGTGATAGGGTGGGGAGTTTGAGAGTTGACAGCTGATGCTTAATGTGTTAATTGAATATTTACTATGTAGGAGGCACTGAACAAAAAGCTTTGTATGAATAATCTCATTTGTAAGCCTCTTAAAAGCACTGTGAAATAGGTACTCGACAAGTCATTTTGCTAATGAGAAAAGTCAAGTGTAAAGATGTAATTAACTGTTCAGCATGGCACAGCAAGCGAGGAGGGCAAAGCCAAGCCTTGAGCCCAGGTCTGTGTGACTCCGCCTCCCCCGGCTTTGCCTCCTCATAGCGGTCAGTGTGCTGATCTGTGAGGCTACTGGACAGAGCACTGAATCGGACGGCTGAGGATGGAGGGCTTGGATGAGATTAGAACACAGGCCAGGGAGGAATGGAGTGGAACAAACATTCACCCGCAGTTCACACCAGTGTCAGGTCAGTTGGGGATGTCCTATTGGAGCTGCTTGGTAGCCAAGGCATTTTCAGGACTTCCAGGTTAAAAATGGGCCCTTTAAACATAGGAGTCCAGGCTGACTTGTGTTACCCAGGCCAGCAAGAGATGGGCTGTCTTTAATGTGCTCAGGGATTTGCAAAATCCCTGGCAAGTTAGGGCTAGAAGAGAGACCTCTATAATTATCCAGTCCAATGCCTTTTTGGTTCATTGTGTTTGATAATTATTAACGAGATTGCTACTTATTATCTAAAGGAGACATGTGGCAAAGTGCAGTTATAAGATGAGCCTCTTCAGGGTGACCTTTTCCAACAACACTATCCAAAGGCATATCCCTGCCCCCCCCAACTGCTCCATCACTCTGTCTGTTAATCCAATTACATTGCTTTCCTAGCACTTTTCTCCATCTGAAGTTATTATGTTCATAGAATTGGTTACTTGCAGAGATCACAAGCTCCATGAGAACAGGGAACACATCTATTTTGTTTCCTGCTGTATTCCAACACCTGAAACAGCTTCTGCTTACAGTATTGGCTGAACAAATGTGCATTTGTAAGAAATTGAAGTTAGACTTTAATACATTAAGGACCTACCCTGGCAAACATTAGTAAACTCATTTTATTAGAAATAGTTTAGAGAAAATGTATGGCGTATCCATAATGCATAAAGCATAGAATATCTATTACACATAATAAATTTGACGTGTTTGATGTGTATTTCCATATATATGGATAGATTAAGTATTTGCTACAAATCATCCACGGGAAGAAATATATGTGTAGCTGTTCTGTGTTGGCACTGTTACCTTGGTGCCAGGCAGCCTAGGAATATACCTTGTTCAAAGCAGAAATAACCAACAGCAGCTCCTGGGATTCCAGAACATTCCCAGGCTTCAGCCTTTCCTTCCTTCCTTCCTTCCTTCCTTCCTTCCTTCCTTCCTTCCTTCCTTTCTTTTTTTTCTTTCCTTGGGGACATTTTAAAGGAGGTGCTCCGGATATCATTAAGATTACTTGTAACCTCTCATTAAAGAGGACATCAATTTAATTGATGTCCATTTAATCTAATTCTTTCTTCCCTTTTATTGCATTTCCAGCCTGATCTGATTGCATTTCTCCCCCCTCTCTCTTTAAGATCTGACGCTCTCCTTCAGTGTGAAGAGCCGCTCCAGGAGGTGTGTAAACGGCCCCCTGCAGGAAGCGGCCAGGAGGCGGCTCTGGGCGCTGGAGAATGAGCACCAGGAGGTGTGTGCCCTGTTTAAGGTGAGCTTGGGTGGCCCACTGCAATGCTGAACCTGCCTGGTGTCCGGCCGCTGCAAGGCTTGCCAGCACCTAGGACAGCGCCGGGAACAAAGTGGGCCCTCCAGAGAACCCCTGAAGGAACAAAGAATGAATGAAAATGTACATACTTGCTGCTCAGCAAGGATACACAGAACTCAGAAGGTGGCAACCTCTGGTGTTGCACAGTCAGAGAAAATGGTTTCAAACCTCCCACTCATAGCTGTCTGACCTTCTACAAGTGACTTCACCTGTGTAGGATGGAATTGTTATGATATCTACCTTATAAAGCATATATATATATATATTTTAATGTGGTACATTGGGATTATTTTTTCTTGTAATCAAATATACACAATGTAAATTTTCAACTTTAATTATTCTCAGTGTACAATTCAGTGGCATCAATGCAGTCACGTTGTTATGCCATCACCACTGTCCATTCCAGAACTTTGTCATCATCCCAAACTGAAACTCTGTATCTATTAAACAATAATCCCCCCCCATCCCCTTCCCTCACCACTGGTGACTACTAAGTATATATTCTTTTAAGTACCAAAATTGCTAATCAAAAAATTAATAACGATAAATTTTAGAATGAGAGGAGAAAAAGGCAATAAAGTAAATAAACCAGTTTCTTCTTTTTCATAGTGGGTAGCTTGTATGTTCAGTTGTTAAACCAAGGAAGAAGGATATAACCAAATTATTTATAGTTTAAGAGAGATTTTTTTTAAAGACCCTGTCCATTTATATGAGAGAGAGAGAGAGAGAGAGAGAGAGAAAGAGAGAGAGAGAGAGAGAACACAAGCAGGAGGAGTGGCAGGCAAAGGGAGAGAGGGAAGCAGGCTCCCCGCTGAGCAAGGAACCAGAGGGCCTCAATCCCAGGACCCAAGGATCATGACCTGAGCTGAAGGCAGATGCCTGAGTGAGCCACCCAGGTGTCCCCTGGGAGGGACTTACTAAAAGAACCAAAGTCAGAAATGATTAAAAATTGTTGCAACTAGAGGTGGGAGAAAAAGAATATTACTTCATGTAATAAACTAATATGTTCTAGTTATTTTTATAGTCTCTGAATTAATTTGATACAAATTAAAAAGGGAAATGTGTTCTATTAATCTGTCACGTAAAAAAAAAAAGACTGGTTTGTTGGGAGGAGTCAGTGAGTCAGTATCTGTAGAGAGCTTGGCACTTTGCTTGGGTGGCAGTATGTGCTCCCTAAATAGCAGATCAATTATAAATAGTAGGGTTTTTTTTTTATTTCCAGAATTCAGAAACTTGGAGGCACGAGCTGTTAACTGGCACCATAGTTTTTAAAAATTCGAGTCACTTTTGGTGTGGGCAAGAGCTGCATTTGATTGAGCCAGGGGATCTGCTGGGCTGAGGGTTGAATCGGTCCAGCTGGTGCACCTGGGTTGAGGCCTGGAGTCAGCTAGATCTAGGCTCCAGTCAGGGGGCCACAACACACAGGTGACCCGGGGTAAATTGCTTAACCTGTGTGTGCCTGGGCCTTCTAGACTATAACACATGCATCATGCCATATTCTATTAAAGCTGAAATGCCATTTGATTATCAAATGCAGCAATATTTTATATACCTGGAAGAAAGGGAAATAAATGCTCCCAATTAAGTATGAGCCATGCTTCCTTATCTTTTATCTCAGACATGATTAAATGTGGTAAAAGTGTATTTTAGAATGGATTAAGTAGTGTCATTGTACTCTTTGAATAGGGTTATTGTGAGTTAAATGGGGCATTGTTTGTGAATAGGTGAATTGCCTGACATTGAATCTCCTGGAATCAGTTGCTGTTGTTGTTTTAAAGATTTTATTTATTTATTTACAAGAGATACACAGAGAGAGGCAGAGACACAGGCAGAGGGAGAAGCAGGTTCCCTGCGGAGAGCCCGATGTGGGACTCGATCCCAGGACCCCAGGATCGCTCCCTGAGCCAAAGGCAACCACTGAGCTACTCAAGTGCCCCTGGAATCAGTTTTTATCTAGGACCCCTTCCCTGACCAACACGATCTGGGGACTCCTGGGGCCTGTATGGGAGAACCCCAGAGTTCTGGCTTTGCTGACCTAGGAACTCCTCCCTTCCTCTCTAATCTCTTCTTTCCACAGGGTTCTCCCAGAACAGCATTCTAGGGAATGATCTTTGATGGCACAACCTGGCCTGAGGGAGGAAGGATGCTCTGACCTTCACTCATTAGAGTCAACTCTAGAAGCTTGGACAAACAAGAGAAAGATTTTAGGGGAAAACCAAGTCGGTACAGTAGTTTAGACCTGTTTTCCCAAGTATTAAAAAAGGGAGTGGGGGAGCATGCAAATTGGCACAGCACAGCCTTTTGTAAGGGCAGTTTGGCTCTCTCTTGCATTTTAGGATCGAAAATGTGAGTATCTGCATTCCCAACTGCACTTCTCAGTGAGAATTACTTATGTCAAAACAATCAGAGACGTGAACAAAGACTTAGCTATAGGATGTCTATCACAGTACTGGTTAGGATGGTAAAAAAATGAAAGCAACGCAAATGTCTAAACACAAGGAAATGCTAAGAACTATGTTAATGTACCGATGGCATATGTAAGCATTAAAAATAATATAGATTGTTTACTGAAGTAGGGGATGGCTCACAAGATATTGTTTAATTACAGAAGATTACAAAACAATTTATGTAATGTGATTCTATTTATATAAAAATAGTTACATAGAAGCTCAAGCACAGGAAAAAGGATTCTGAGTTAATACATAAAAGTGTTAACACTGATGATCTATCTATCTCTAGGAGGAAGGATTGTGATTTTTGGTTTTGTGTAATTTGGTTTTTCTATTTATCAGCTTTATAAAAATAATCATTAGACATAGATCGACAAACTTGCTTCCAACATGCCTTCTCTTATTCATCCTTCAGCTCCCTCGTACACATTTTTTTAAAAAACACAAAAGGTAGCATTTTTCTAAAGGATTTTTTTTTTTATTTGAGAGAGAGAGAGAGCATGAGCAGGGGAGAGGGGCAGAGGGAGAGGGAGAAGCAGGCTCTCCAATGAGCAGGGAACCTGATGTGGGGCTTGATCCCAGGACCCTGAGGTCATGACTTGAGCTGAAGGCAAATGTTTAATCAACTGAGCCACCAAGGTGCTCCCCAAAAGGGAGCATTCATTGCACACAGTTCTACATCCTGGTTCCTTTCTGTTGCTGCTACTGATCCATCTGGTAGTATATATCTGGAGGCTGTATCAGTGCACAAAGGATTTCTTTATTCTTTTTTATGGCTGCATAATATCATATATTCCACTGCATGGATGAATCACAATTCATTTTAACTGATCTCCTAGTGATGGACATTTAGGTTGTTTCCTGTGTGTGTGTGTGTGTGTGTGTGTGTGTGTGTGTGATATGTAAAAAAATCAATGCCACAGTCAAGAAATCACACAGAGCATTTTGCACTCCTCTGAGATTATGAACAGGACACTGTCATCCCAGGCTGACTCACTCTTCTCTTTCCCCAGGACCTCTCAGCCAGGTTGGTGGGTATCCAGTCCCAGAAGGCTCAATTCCTCATCACCTTCAAGACCATGGAGGAAATCTGGAAATTTTCTACCTACTTGAACTTAGGTATGATGTGGAGCAGGCAGGTGGAGGAGAACCTGTGTTATAGCTCAGCCAATTTGTAGGGTTTGACATCAGGGAATTGGTCTGGCTCTGACAATTAAAGAGGTAGAGCCTTCACATGGATGGTTAACTTTTGAAATATCACAAACTGCCTGGAACTAAATCTAAGGCAAATATTAACGGTTACTCTCTAATGGGATGTGGAACATTACTTTGTTTTCAGGGGGAGACTACTTTCTTAGATAATCAATCAATTGGTGAACAGTTCTTGGTGATCACTAAATTCAAAGGACTGAGAGAGATGCAGACTGATCGTTAAGAAAAACGGGGGCCAGTTAAATAAGATCAAGTAGCTGCTCAAAATAGTAAAGTTGTGGATACTTCAGCCTATGTTTTTGGAAAAGAGTCAAAAGAGATGGGGGAGCTATGTGTGAAAGGGGACTCAGATGGCAGGGTTTTCTAGGAAGTGACCTTGTGTAGGGGTCGAGGGTCAAGATGGCCCTTGGCTAGAAGGTATAACTTCTCTCGTAGTCATGGTGATTTTCTGCTTTCCCTACTGCGCATCTCCTTCCACGATCATTTAGAGACCCATCTTCAATTCAAAGTGTGCTCCATGGACCAGCAGCATCAGCATCGTGTGGAGCTTGTCAGAAAAGTAGAATCTCAGGCCCCATCCCAGACCTACTGACAGCATCTCTATTTTAATAAGATCCCCAGGTGATTGGTGTGCATGTTAAAGTACAAGAAGTACAATGATAGAAAACACACTGGGCCTAAGTAGGTACAACAGAATCAGAATGGAAACAAACAAGCTTTTGCATCTTAAGAAAGACGAAGTCTCAAAAGAAGCAAAATTTTAGCATCAATAATTCACATTTGTAGGCATGTTTGAAATACCATCCATAATTGCAACTACAGAGCAGCTAGTCTGGTTTTAACAAGGGAGAGCATGCTGGGCATGAATGATGGAGAAGATCAGAGGGGTGGTAGAGTAAATCCTGACTCCTTTACAGGTCATGGACAACCCCCCAGTCACTGCATCTTTAGGGGTCCAGGAATTTGAACCTCAAGTCAGGAAAACTGTAAGGGGGGGACTAGGACCCCCAGAATCCAAATTATAGTCTTTGAAATTCCTCTACAGATGAATTAGAAAGAGGTAGTTAGGTTTGGTCATCTCATTGTGCTTTTATGGAGATCCATAATGTATTGAAAATCATAAATATTATTTAAAAATGATTTGTATTTCCCAACAGATGCTGAGAAGAATCAACTCACCCTAGAAATTTTCTAGCTACCTCTCTATGCTCTTCTTGTTCTTATTAAGGGACAAAGGTCTGGGAGGGAACTTCAGAAAGGAGCTTTCTCACACTTTTCTGTTTTCAGCTATGGCAGAAATCATGTTGTTCAGAAATCATGTTGGCTTGACCTCTTAGGTTATGTATCTGCATGTCTGGAACATCTCCTTTTTGACCATAAGTACTGGCTCAACTGCAGATTGGTGGAAGATACAGAGATCCAAGTGTCAGTGGATGAGAAACATCTGGAAACAATATACCTGGCACTCCTGATACAGGAAGGTGAGGATGGAGTAGGGTGGGATGGGCTTTTATCTGGATTTTTATGATCAGTCTCTGAAATAATTAGGACACAACGGGAGGCAAAGAACATTTCAAAGGTGAGAATAATCATAAATGAACCCACCTGTTACCAATATTATTCCAAACCTCACTCTCAGTTTGACACTGACATCACATGAACAGCTGTTTTTCAGTCTCACACTGATTGATCTTACAACCCCTTGGGAAGTTTTTAGAAAGTGCTCATGCTAGGGCTCCACTGGGGCCAATTAAATCTCCAGAGGTAGGGGCCAGGCTTTGGTATTTTTTGAAAGTTGCCCAGGCAATTCTAACATGCATCCAAGAGTAAGAAAGAATCACCTTTTAAAATATATGATACAATTTGATTGTGAAATAAAATTGCAAATCTTGTAAAACCTACAAGATTTCCTGAGATGGAGGAAAATGGTGCTGGGGCACCTCTTGGAGAACAAGCCAATCTGTTTGCAAGGAGGGATCTGATCCAGGTGACAACCAATGCTAACCACTGATGACATCACAGGCACATTGAAAGAACCCAGGTTTGCATAGAATATTTTGCAAAGGGATTCTGTTTATGGTTGTGTTGCACAAATCACAGTTGAAGGAAAGAATTTTGTATAGTGCTACCATATTTGGATAAATTATATTCAACCAAATCAATTTATTCTTTGTTTTGATCCTAAGATTAAGCAGAGGGTTGCAATTGTAACTGAAGTTTTGTTAAGTAAATTTTTGTTTTATAATTTTTTCCAAGGGGAAGTCCCAGTTGAGCCTTATTCTCACAAATTACTCCAAGCTTATGATATCTACTTCAAGTGCATTCCCTCTCAGTGGCTTTTTTTCCCCCTGCTACAGTTTTTCTGGGATCACAAAGTAGTGGGCTTCTGGTTAGAAACGTTACATTGTGTGGTAATCCCTTTTCCATTACTGCTACTCCTTGGAGGGGCTTTTCTCATTATCTACAGGTCACTTCTTCTGCAGAGCCATGTGCTCCGTGGCTCAGCCAGCTGAGAAGGAAGGGGAGTATTTGACGCTTTGCAAGAAGGAGTTAATCTCCGTGAAGATAGTTGAAGGCGAATCTGAGTGGGAGGGCGTGTCCTTGGTGACGGGTCAGCGGGGCCTGGTGCCCCTGTCAGCTCTGGAACCTCTGCCGCTCCCTTTCCACCAGTGAGTAGCCAGGAGTGGGTCCCAGAGCAGACTGAGGTCTGCACAACAGAGTAGACAAGCTCGCATATATGGGCATCTGCGGTGCCAGGGAGGGAACAAAATTTGGGGTTTTTTTTTTTTTTTGGTCTTTTTTTGTTTATCTATCTATCTATTTATTTATTTTTAACAGTCAAAATTTGCACAATCTGGTGAAATTAGAGACAACTCAAAATTTCAAATGGACATTGTATCTAAGAGGAAATCTACTGCCAGTCTTCAAACACAGTGTTTCTTAATATGGGGACTGGTGACCATTTGTATCGGAATCACCTGGGGATTTACTCTAAGTTCAGCCCACCTGGCCATCCTCAGACTGTTTTCGATTTAGGAATTTGTATCTTATATAAGCTCCCCTTGAACATAAGGGGATGTATTTCATACTTACATTTGAGAATCCAGGCCAGAAGGTTTTGTAAACTCTGATATCCAGAGATTAGAATCTGACAGAATGGAAAGAGATCCTTTGTTAGTTATTTAACTGGTGAACTAATTGCAGAGCCAGAAAACATCCTAGGCCTGCTGAATTCCTCTGCTTTTCATAAAGCACCTGATGCAAAGTAAGTTCTCAATAAATATTTGTCATTGTTATAACAGGAGTAATAACCATGATACTTATGATAATCGCCATTGTTATTTTAATGAACTCTTCTGCTCACTGGTGTCATGTTTTTGAAATCCGATTTTGCAAACCCCGTGTTTCCATTGGCAGATGGTTCCTAAAGAATTACCCAGGAAGCTGTGGCCTTTCCAGGAAGAGGAATTGGACAGGCTCCTATCAGATCGGTATGGCTGGGTTGAAGACAGTATTGTCAGGGAGCTAATACTGTCCTGCCTCCTAATTTTATCTGCAAGTTTGGAGTCAGTTGATGTGAATTCCTGACTGGCCTCTGCTGCTGGCTGGATGTGGAGAAGCCAGTTGCTCTCTGTAACATGGGTTTCCTTTCCTGTGGGATGAGAGGTCTCAATCCAGGGCTGTTGGTACAAATGCTCACAGTGGCAGACAGAATGTACAGATGCATGCGGGCCTGGGTGGAAGATGTTAGGGAATGGCGGGACCATGGGGGATTTAATGATATATTGGGTGAATCAAAAGCCCAGTGGGGGCCAAATGTGGCCTGCAGGCTGTTTTCAATCTCGAGTCAAAACATTTTCAATTTCCCTTATACTTTTGTGAAATTGGTCTTGAATTTTGGAAGAGTAAGAAGGCCTGGCACATGATGGATATACTCAGTAGATATTTGTAGAATAAATAAATGAAATATATATATATGTATATAATAGTATGTATTATATAAACATGCATATATTTTAGATGATCTCTGTAAGAATGTGCATGTATGTGTGTACATTTGCACACATATACACATGCATCTATAAGTACATATGTATCTACTGGAAATGAACTTTAATGTTTTCTAGGTATCAGGAGTATCTATTCCTTTCATCTTCATCTTTAGAGCCCTCCCACCCCCAATTAGCCTAGCTGAAGTGCAATTTTATAAGATGTGAGCCCAAATCATACTTTTTAAAAAAGAAATAGAAGGAGGGGCACCTGGGTGGCTCAGTCTTTTGAGCATCCAACTCTTGATTTTGACTCAGGTCATGATCTCAGGGTCATGAGGTCGAGCCCTGTGTTGGGTTCCACACTCAGCGGGGAGTCTGCTTAGATCCTCCCTTTGTCCCTCCCCCTACTCACATGCTGTCTATCTCTCTAAAATAAATAAATCTTAAAAAAAAAAAGAAATAGAGGTAATTATGGAACTTAGACCTTAGATCTAATCAATTAACTGACCATAAACAAGATTTTTCGCTATCCAAGACAGTATAAGCATTCCTTGGAATTATGAATATGGGGCTGTGAAGTTTGTTCTCAGTTCAGATTCTTACTCCACAGCTTAAAATCAGCATGACCTTGGCCAATTCGCAAGCTCTCACTGTGCTGCAAGTTCCTCATGAGTAAAATGTTACCGTAAAGCTGATTTTGAATGCCATGAAAAATCAATTAAATGACATCTGAAAACCATTTAGTACAGTTTTCCACACTGCAAGTGTTTAATACACTATAGATCCTATTAGCCCACAAAATGGTGGGAATTTCTGGTCTTGAAGACCCAATCAATAGAAACTTTATAAAAAATATCAGGGGTGGGGGGGGGTGGGGAAAGCCAGTCGCTATAGCAGAGAAGCTAAAGCAAACTTGGAAACCAAGACACATAAAAGCCATTATCTCAAGCAAAGCAGGATTAGTAGAAAGAAGGGTTAACCAGCAGTTGAGAGATTGATTTCTACACCCAGCTCCTCCGACAACTGTGCTTGCACCTTTTAACCTTCTAGAAAAAGGGGGTTCTGATGGTTACTCTACATACTCTCTAGGACTCTTGGAAAGATCTGAGAAAATGAGCTTAAATGTATTTTGTAAACCAGACAGCACAGAGCTCATAAACATGTCATTACTAGATCTTAGCTGGGTAAGTCTCAAGCTGAGCAATGACCATAGTCAGAAAGGGAGTCTTCCAAATCCCTCTGGATCCTGAGCAGTTTTCTGTTTACCAGTGATAGGAGGCTAACATGTTTTGAAGTTTGATTCGGTACCAGACATTGTGCATCTTTTTGACTTTTCCTAATACTTATGAGACAAATATTCTTACTATTCCCATTTTACAGTTGGGGAAACTGAGGGTCATAGTGGCCAAAGGAACTGGGAGGAAACAGAGAGATCCCACAATGTTTCTCACCCTGGTTTGTGGATTTGTGCTAATCATGATGAAATATTTACATGATAATGGCAAATCAGACACAGTAAGACAATACAGTAAGCTTCCCAGTTTTCCATGAATGAACTTTATTCAGCTTTAGGGTATATCCAGTATTCTGAGATGATCTTTCCTACATTTGTTAAAACACCCTTTATTTTGTAAAGTGATGATGAAAGTGGATGGTGTCTTTCTTTGAATGTTCTAGTTTGGCAACATTAAAAGCCAGTTATTACCCTGTCTCATTCCTGCCAATTTTTTTTTGGTAAGGGGGTAGGATTTTACTGGTCCTTAAAATTCTAAATTCTGAGGATGCTTCATTTCATATTACACTGGGAGCAGGTTTTGCCTTATTTGGCTGACCTGGATGTTATTTCTCCACAGGCAGAGGAAAATGTAAGGCCTGGAAGGACTATGAGAGGGAAGAAAAGGATGAGCTGACTTTTCACCAGGGAGAAAGCATTGAGATCATCGGCTTTGTCATACCTGGGCTTCAGTGGTTCATTGGGAAGTCGACGCGCTCAGGAGAAGTGGGCTTTGTTCCCACCAGGAACATAGATCCTGAGTCTTATTCCCCAATGTGAGTATGGCAGAGAGGCCCTCTAGGATATCTTGGAGTGGGCCACCTTCTTCTGTGGCCCTACCCCATGTTGAACAGTGTTGCAGATGAACTTCAGGGTTGCCTGGCAAGATAGAGTCAAAGGAGCACTTTCTGACAACCAAGGATGTCACAAGGGGTGATGGGAAGTAGAGGATGAATGATCAAGGAATGAGTCCATTCAGTTCTGATCAGTAGGTGGTCATCGAGGCCTTCCTATGTGCAAGGAGAGAGGCACAACCCCAAGATAAAGGGCCTGCTGTTACCACTGTAGACGTGGTATTGGTACTTGTACTCTGCCACTACCTCGTCCAATCAAGGAGCCCCAAATAAGGGGAGGGCACACATAGAGACCTACAGACTACAGCTTAGTGAAAGGAGGCACCAGTGTTGGCCTAGATGCTAGAATGCTTCGTTTACACTTTTCTCCTTTTTGATCAGAACGGCTGGTTCTGAGAAGCAGAGCCACCCCTGAGACCAATCAGTGGCAGATGGCCAGCTTGTGCCACCTACCCTGTCTTGGAGGAGTAGGTCTCAAGAATACTGATCAGTCTCTGGGGTGGGCTTCCTGCCTGGGGATAGGAAACAGTAGGAAGCCTGCCCCCAGAAAGTACCAGAGGGATCACAGAGTTGGCTGCTCACACTAAGATCCTGGGAAAATGTGGCTCAAGGATTGTCCAAGGCCCTGCGCACTCAGACTAGAATGTCTTCCCTTGTACAAAAGAGCCTCCAAGGAGATGGACCAAGGGCAGATGCTCCCTCTAAGCCCTGCCCTTTGTAGGGGGAGGAGACAGAAGGTCATGTTCTCTACACAGAAATGTGGGAACTCAAGGGACTCTCAATGAGGAAGAGCGTTCACTGAGTCCCTGGAGGATTATGGGGTAAATGGGAGTTTATAAGGAGGAAGACGGTGTCAGGAGAAATAGGCCGTATTTGCACAATGCAAGATATTTCAACAAGTGACCATGGGGAAGAACAATCACAGGTAGGAAAGTGGAGGGAGGGATGTCCTGAGGAATGATTGGTGTTGGTTGAGAGGCAGGTTGCCAGGAGGGCATTGGTGTAGCAAAGGCTCAGTTGGTCTGTGATGTGGCAGACAGAGAATGCTTGTGTCCTTTACCTGACAGGGAATGGGGAGCCACTGAGGGTCTCTGAGCAAGAGTGACAAATGATGAGACTGGAACCCTGGTTTTGAGCAAGGCGTGCAAGGGTAGGGGAGAACCTGGAGGCAGGAGATGAGCTCAAAGACCAAGGCTGGCACCTGGGAAGGGGCAGGGAAACAGGGAGGAGAGGGCACAGCTGAGGACCAATCATCAGGAATCTAAGATTCCAGGAGCTTCATAAATATGGATGCCCATGTTCTGCCTCCAGAGGTCCCATCTCATCAGTGTGGCTGGGCCCTGGCTCCTCTGGAGGGTGGTGCTAATGGACAGCCAAGGCGGAACCACTGCTCGGACGACCCCCTCATTTACCCCAGAGGCAAGTGAGGACTCAGGAGTGAAAGGGCTAAACCCAAGGCCTTGGGGTCTGGAATTCTAGAATCCTGACATTAAATCTAGGGTTCTTTTTTTAAAAAAATTTATTCATGAGAGACCCCGAGAGAGAGGCAGAGACATAGGCAGAGGGAGAAGCAGGCTCTCTGTGGGGAGCCTGATGCGAGATTCAATCCCAGGACCCTGGATCATGACCTGAGCCAAAGGCAGATGCTCAAATACTGAGCCACCCAGGTGCCTCTAGGGTTCTTTTTCGACTGTACAGTTTTGCAGCTGAGGTCCTAGTAAGAGGGAGAAAGAATAAATAGGACAGAGATTTGGTGGGGAAAAACAATGTACCCAGCAGAGAAAGAAAGAATCTAGCAAAGGAGACAAAGGAACAAAGGAGTCCTGTGAAAGGAAGGAAGGGGTTTGGGGGGGGGGGGGACAGTAAACACTGCTGCAGACTGCAGAGAGGTTAAAGCAGGGCTGCCTGCTGAAAGGCCTTTGGGATTGGCCACTGGTCATTGAGACGTCAGTGGCCATTGGGAGGTACCTGGCCATCAGGAGGCCCAGTAGCTTAGTAATCAGAGTTTGAGAGCCAGACTGCCTGAAAGGCATTTATGCTTGGCCATGCAAGCATATTGGGTGTCTCCATTAGCTTACCAGCTTTGCAATTTTGGACATGTTAATTGGTCTCTCTGTGCCTCAGGTTTCTCATCTGTAAATGCATATGATATTAGTATTTGTCCATAGGATTGTCAGGAGTTGCCATGAGCTAATACATGTAAAGCACTTAGAATGGTGCCCGGCACAGTGTGTGTTTAAGATCAATATGCATTGGGCGGCGCAGGTGGCTCAGTGGTTTAGCGCCACCTTCAGCCCAGGGCCTGATCCTGGAGACTCAGGATCGAGTCCCACATTGGGCTCCCTGCATGGAGCCTGCTTCTCCCTCTGCTTGTGTCTCTGCCTCTCTCTCTCTCTCTCTGTGTGTCTCTCATTAAAAAGAAAAAAAAAATCAATATGCATTAATTCTTACTATTGCTGTTCCTGCCATGGTGGTAATCTTTGAGAGGTAGTTTTAATAGGATATCGGGGGCAGGTGTTAGATTTCATAAACTATTTTTGGACTTCTGAACCTCATACCTTGCCCCAAATCTCAATAACTTATGCCACTAAATTAATTTGATTATCACATTTTAACTGGCTTAGTTGTAGGGGACACACTCGTGCCATAAAGAACATCACCTCCTGTATCGCAGCGGTGGCTTGAGAACTTCTGGTTATTTCTATAGTGTCTTCTGTTGGCCTCTCCACCTGGTTACCTGTGGGACCCCATCACCAGAGACTGCACATTGGGTAGGGAAGGGGAAAGTGATCCAGGAAAGAGGGAGAGGTGGAAGAAAGAGGGGAGAGGGGAACTGACTTATTGTAGTCCTCCACCCCACAACCAAGCACTTTCTAGATCACAAACCTCTCCAAAACACAGCAATGAGAGGAAAAGCTCACAAACACCCTGATACAAGCAGCAGCCACTGGGTGGAGTTCCTGGGAATCATCCTGTGTGCTATGCAGGTGGTCTGGCCACTGGGTGTCACTCTTAGTCTGTTTTTTTGGTAGGAGGTTTCTGAAGACCGTCCAGCATTTGATGTCTCCTTCGTCTTCCCACAGGCTCCCTCCCTGTGCTAGTATATTACTTCTTAAAGTGTCTTCATCCATCCATCCATCCATCCATCCATCCATCCATCCATCCATTTGTATTTATTTAACCAAATCGGCAATATATTGAGAGTAAAATTTCTCAGAAGCTGTCTTGTGAGTCAGATTTAGTCTGTGCCTCTGACACATAGGAAAGAGATCCTGTATTTCCACGGGAGCAAAGTTGTGAGTTTCCTTTTATTTACAGCCCATATTTCAACACCAGCGACCTGGTTTCACAGCAACAGCAGCTGGAAAACCAGTTCTTAAAGCTTGGGGCAGGTATTCCATCTGAATAGACATGGTATTTGTCTTGGCCAGCGTGCCTTTAGAGATTTAAGAGTTGCTGATGGTGACAAAAGCCACACCTTGCTATTCTTCGGTTTTATGCTTTCAAAAGGTATTTGATATGTGTGTATATGTGTGTATATGTATATGTGTGTGTGTGTTGAGGGAAAATGAATTTAGATATAACTGAAGACTCCTTGTTACTCCTTCCTACTTTCACCCTGTGATCCTGATTCTTACCCCGGGGTGGGGGTGGGGGGGCTCTAGCTGAAGCTGATACGTTAATCTTCCCTGTCATCATTCTGATACATTTTAGAAACAGATATTTGTAAAAAAAAAAATACACTAGAGTTTTGTGTTTTAAAAAATGTATATACATGTTTCTTCTGTAACTGGCCCCTTCTTTTCCATTGATACAATAAATTTAGGACTTATTCGCCTTGTAGATTTAGTTTGTTTTAATAAAGTGTTTCTTAAAGGAGATTTAGATACTTAAATGTGTAAACTAAAAAATAAGCAAGATTGAAAAATTAATGCACTCAATACCAGAAAAAAAAAAACTTGGGGGATAAGCCAATATCTCATAGTATTAGATGTTTGAAAAATTCTATTTTTTATATACCCTCTTTTATTCTTCGTTGTTTATCTCTGTCTTCTTTATAATTTCATTTCTTGTGGCATCTATTTTTGCTGATGACAAGTTTGCCGTTAGTCTCATAGCCATTTCTTTGCAGGTAGGCAGCTTTCTCTCTCTCTCTTTTAGGTTTTTCTTACTGATGTTTTGTACTATGATATATCTAGATGTGACCTATTCTGTTACATATTTATCGTTGGATGTCATCTGTGTTATCTTTTAGGAGTTATTTCAGTGGAGATCTGTGAGTTGTAACTACTCTCAGCCTTTAGTCCTTGTTTGTGTTAAATATACTTAAAATATACTTGTGAATGATAATTTAGCTAGGTGTAGAATAACCTTCAAAGTGGAAGGAACAATAACTACTAGCATAAAATTTCAAATCTGCTTTGCCAGGGTCCATTTCATTAATCCTTGGATGGAGAAACAAGTTTTCTTGTGTTGGCCATCTTTCTTGTTTCTTTGTTTTCTATTTTACTATTTTCACATTTACCTTTATTATTTCTTCTACTTTGTTTTAATTTCATTGATTTATGCATTTATCCTCTCTGTTTAATGCTTTCATCTTGTAAGTTGATTTGCCAAGCGATAGCTAATGGAACCCAGGAAGATGGATCAGGAGGATGAATAGCCCTATATAGAAATGGAAGTCATGTTGAAAATGATATTATTTTCATTTATTTTGCTTAGGACGTGGTGCACTTCCTCAGCTTGAAGACTCATGTCTTTCTTCAATTCTGGAAAATTCTCAGTTCTTCTCCCTTTGAATATTGCCTCTCTCTCATTCTTTTTAGTCTATCTTCTGGAATTCCTAACAGAGGTATGTTGGAGTTGCCATTCTAGCCCTAATGCTTAATCAGTTCTTTTATATTTTTTCATCTTTGTGTCCCTCTAGGTGCATTCTGGGTGATGTCCTCCAAGCCGTCTTGAGTTTCACTAATTCTCTCCTCTGTTATGACTAAACCTGCTGTTTAACTCACTCCTGTAGTTTTAAGTGTTCATGCCTTTCTTTTCATTTCTAGAATTTGTATTTTGCTATTTTCCACATATACTTATTTCTGCTCACTACGTTCCACATTTTCATTGTAGCTTCTAATCAGTCTTTCATTTCATCCTTTTAACCATGCTTATTATAAATTAATCTTTTGATTGTTATTATTTTTAGTTTTTCTAGTGTTAATTTGCCTATTTGTGAACCTGCTGGCATTCATTGTCAGTAGTTACTTTTCTTGTGTTTGTATTTTTGGCTATGTGAACCAATTTTCTACGTTTTATTTTATTTTTAAAGAATTATTTATTTATTTGAGAGAGCATGTGTGAGTATGTGCACATGTTGGGGGGGCGGGGGGGGGACTCAAGCCGACTCCCAGTTGAGGGTGAGCCCTATGTGGAGCTCTATCCTATTACCTGTGAGATGTGACCTGATCTGGCCCTAAATCACCAGTCAGATGCTTAACCAACTGAGCCACCCAGGTGCCCTGAATATTCAACATTTTAAAAGACAGTTTTTGCATGAAGCCTGGACTGAAGAAAACATACCAGTAGAACAATTTTGGCATTTGCCCTCCCAGCAAATTAAGGAACTCAGTGGTCCAGGGCTGGTTTTTAAATGTTATGTTCTTCAGTTGTGGTTCTTACACTGTATGGTGTAATTCAGAATATACACCTTCTAATGGTGTAAGTCCAGGTGTTTGATTTTTTTTTCCCCCAGGGATGCAGTGCAGTCAGATGGAAAGTGTGTCATTGCCAGGCAAGTTTTCCCACCTCCTCTTCCCAGAAGCTGTAGTTCTTCCTGACTTCAGGCTATAGGGAGCTCAAAGCTATGTAGGGAGCTCAGGTCAGCTTCACAGCTTCAGACAGACCCAAAGTCACATATTCTGTCCCTAGGTGGCATCACAAAGTGAGCCCCAGTCCTGAGGCCCAGTGTCCCAGCTGAAAACTCCTGGGATCTCTGGGCTATCTGCTGTCGTTTACCAACTGGGCTTTGATATCTCCTTTTGTTTCTGGCTTTCAGGCATTTCTCTTTCCTTTTTTCAAGTCTAAGAATGTAGTAAAATATTTATCCTTGTCACATTTTATCTATGATTTGTCTGTGTTTGTGGGTGAGAGTAGCCCCCTGTGGAACACTTCAGCCTGCCATATATCCTAGAAATCTTACCATTCTAGCCTCATTTCCATGCTAGGAAAACCCTAATGTAATTTTTCAAGCTTCTTGGACTCTTTCCAAGAACATTCCAAGGACTCAGGACATAGCAGATCAGCTGTGAGGCAATGGGCTACAGAGACAGAAGATCATAGTTTCTGTCTCAGCTTTACCACTTGCCAGCTGTGTCATTCTGAGCATGGCACTAAATGAAATAGTAAATTCAGGAATGCTTGGCAAAATTTAAATGTTCTATAGAAATTTGAAATCATATAGTTCTTTTTATCTCAGATGAACTTAGTTGTAGATTTAAACTAGATGCTCTTTTGAGGATGGCTGCTTTCATGGTGCTGAGAGAATCTGGAAGTCGGGCCAGAGAGGTGTGGGCTCAATATGTGTCATGGAAAGAGTCCTGGGCCAGACATCAGGACATATCTTTAGTGCTGGTTCTGTCACTAATTAGTGGTGTGACCTTGAGCAGTTCATATTAGCTCCTGGTTTTCTCATCCCTGGCTTTACCTGAGTAAAGTAGGTGGCAGACCGTGGCACTCCCATCCCCACTCCTCCCTTAATTCTGCTTGAACTGGAGAAGATCTTTTTTTTTTTTTTAAACACTTCTTAACTACCAACTTTATTTTTCTCTGCCTCAGTTTCATCCTCTGTAAAAAGGGATAAGAATAATAGCTACCTCATTGGGCAATTATGTAGATTAAATGAGATAAGAGTGTCTGATTCATAATAGGATCCCCTCACCCCCAAGTATTAGCTGTTATAACCCCTTGGGCTTCCAAGTTATTTTTGTTTAAAAAATGGATTCTGAGGTTAAACCTCCTGCTACCCCTACAACTTTATTTAGAACTGAAAGAGATCTTAAAATTTGTTCATGTAGATTTCTGGATTGAATTTTTTCTAAGGCACTTCTAATTTTCACATTCTTTGATTCTATGACAAACTTCTAAGCAAATTAATTTTAACAATGAGTTTACACAGTACAGTGAATATAAGGATTTCTATTATTTGCAGTCATTTCTTCCAGCCCCTGACCTTCCTTCTACCCACTTCCTGTCCCTTCTCTGAATGCCACATAATGTTCTTGTTCTGTGCCATGGAATTAGGATGTCAACAATTGTGAAAGGTTCTTCTGACCATAGTCAAACTTTTTTCATTGCTTCTCTAGATTGTGTCACCCATCCCTAATTTTTCTTAAAATAACCTGATTAAAAAAAAAAAAAACAAACATCTTTTAATGGTTCCTTTTCAACTCTTACTTTTGGGGCAGTCAGTTCCTATTTCTCCATTAAGAATGAGCACCCAGTGGTCTCAAAGAAAGGGAAGGGGTCAAGGAAAGGGACTTTGTTTCTCTTGGAGATAGTTTTAACAGAAGGGGTGTTTTCATTCCCACTTTGACCTGTTCGGCAGCCATGTAGCTCATTTCTTCATGAATGAAGTGCTCAGAGCTCTTCTTCCTGGGCAGCATAGATAAATACAGTATATGGCAGTGAGATGAGGAGTCTGGTTGCAGCTATGACAAGTCAGTTGATGGATTCTCTATGTCCTTCACTGTATCCTGGGCTGGAGAGAGAATGGTTGTGTCTGGAGCCTTGCACTGATCTGTGTCCCTGTCTTTTGTCTCAATGCAGGAACAAGAGTTCTGCCTTTTTCAGTGACGAGGAAAGATGCTCTCTGTGGGTCCTGGGAAGTGATAGGAAAGCTGAGTGTGCCAGCTTCCTCCACACACTTGCTCATACTGACATCGCGTCTGTCTACCGGCTTAGTGAGTGTTTGCTCCTCGGACCCCTTTGAAAGCTCAGGCCAGTGATAGCATGAGAGGCCAGCCAGCCCTACTGAGCCTTCCATTCTAACCTTGGGGAAGGAAACCTCCTGAATTGTGGCTGAGGTCACTTCTAGGGCTGAAGGAGGTCTAGGTCCCCGATGATAAAGGCAGGACCATAGAATGTTACAGCTTGTAAGAGGTGATTTCTCCTCTCATTTGACAGATTAGGAAACTGAGGCCCTGATGAATTAGAGCCTTCCCCATTTTCTACTCAGGACAATCCCTACTCTACCATGCTTCCCCCAACACAAACTGACACTGGACTGTTGGGGTGTGTTGGCTTTGGGTGGGGGAGGAGCCTCAGTGTCCGAATAATTGTTTGAACAAATGAATGCCACTCCTTCCCCTTACTTTGGAAGGGCCCACTGCTCTATGTCAGGAAGTACCTTCACCTTTTGACAGTCATCTGAGGAAGGATTCTTGTTTCCCCCATCTCTTCAGTGATGGTAGTATTGTGTCCACCCCACTTTGGACAGATTAGATGGGGCACTGCCTATTAGATGGGGCAGATCAAAGATTCTACAGGAGCCCTCCCTGGGGCAGAGGGCAGGCAGCAAGGTCTTTCCCCATGCACAAGGAGCATTTGTGAGGAGCACCTAGCCTAGGCATCTGCACAGCCCTGCCAGAACTTTCTAGCCACAAACAGATCACATGACCCATCAGGCTGAGCCAGGAGGCTGATGCTATGGGCACTGCCTGTAGGGGGAGTTGAGGTCTGAAAATCCAGGATGACTGCAGGTATGCCTTGAGCAGGGGCAGGCCACAGACTTGGATCTAAGGGATCCACCAACCATTGATCCAATGGTAGGGAGAGATCTAGGAGCACATCCCAGGAATCCATTGCCTCCCATCGATAGACCAGGAGTGCAGCTCTGCTGGATGCAGGATTCTCCTGGCACCAAGGCAGTCAGCACAGGGGCATCCTATTGGTAAATTCCAGCTCCCCCAGGGCCTGGCATGTGTCCCCAGTGTCAGCAAGGGCTGGGGCACAAGGACAGCTCTCCATAGCCCAGCTCTCCAGCTCTCCCACATTTGGCTGTGAGGCCTTCTACCTATGGAGGTTACAGATCACAAGTAGCTACAATGACTGTCATGGAGAGTAGTAGGCAGAGGCTTGGCCCGGTGTGGGCTCCGCTGTCCTCAAGGTTTACTGGAGAGCCCGGAATGAGGGCTCAGGAGGCTGTTGCTTCTCTGCCAGGAAGAGGTAGCATCTCATTTCCAGCAGCCCGTGTCCTGGGGGGCATGAATCTGGCCTTCGCCTCCACAGTTACACTGTGGCCACTTTTGCCAAGAGGGTTTGGTTCTTTGCTGCCAAATCCATGGTGTCTTCTCAGTTCTCATCTAGACTTCTTCCACTTTTGTGACGTCAGGTGGCTGTGCCAGAGGCACCTTGATCTCTGTGTCTCCTCTCCTCTCAGATGGTGCCTTTCTAGGCTCCTTTGCTGCCTCCCACCTGCTGGGAGATGCTTCTCTGGCTCCTTCACAAGCACCTCTCCCCCAGCTGCTTTGCTTTCTTGTCCCAAGGCTTCTTCTAGGACTTGAACACATTCCTTGCGACCCGCGGTGTGTTCTAAATCTGTATTTGCAAGTCTCAACTTTTTTCTTTGGCTACAGATCTACTTCCTCCTCAGCCTAGAGCTCCTGGGAATACCTCAGACTCAGAATGTCCAAAGCTGTGCTCCACACAGCCCCTTCTTTTACCTTATTCCCCACAAAGTCACTTCAGGGAACAAGGCTGGGACCCACAGATGCTCCTCTTTCCTTCGTTAGTCACCTTTGGTCACCTAGTCATGTGTCACATTGGGCAGCTGAGTCCATGACAGTTGAGAGGATGCTGGTGAGCGAGGGAGAAGGAAAGCTGTATGCACAGAAATGGGAGGGGATGCTGCTTGCCACAAAATGTGCCACACTTGGAATTTTGTTCATGGCTCTGCTGTCAGCTAGCTGGGAGATTTGGGCCTTCAGATTTCGTCCTCCACCCCCTATCCCACAACTCCTGGAAAAGAGCTGTGTTTCTAGATTTTCTGATTTTCTTTTTGGGCTCTGGGTCTTATTTCTCCCTCAGTTCCCACCTGTAAGGTGAGCAGCTCAAACAAGATGCTCTGCAGGTCCCCGCAGCTTTTACACTGGTGATGGAGGAGAAAATCCTGCCCAGTTTTTTAGAGAGATTTAAACACAAAGTGTCTGGGGTGCAACTGCAGCATAGGCATGGTGGCCTATTCTGACCTAACACCAGGTCTGTCCTTCATCTCTACCCAGGTGGGTTTGAATCCATCCAGAATCTTCCAAACGATCTAAGTGGTGAGTAGAGATCATGCTGAACCTGACCTTCGGTCCTTCAGAGCAGCATCCTGTCCTCTTGCCAGGATCTGGCCGCCACAGTGGCAGGTGCTCACGGTTGCTCAACTCTGCTTATCCCCTTACAGCGTCCCAGCCTGAAGGCTTTAAGGAGGCCAGGCCTGGTAGAGGCTGGGAAGAGCAGCTGGCCGTGGGCTCCAGACAGTCCAGCAGCTCTGAGGACTCCAGCCTGGAGGAGGAGCTCCTCTCAGCCGCCTCGGACAGCTACCACTTGCCGGAGCCTGATGACCTAGATGACCCAGAACTGCTCATGGACCTAAACACTGGTCAGGAAGAGGAGGAGGCTGAGAACTTCGCCTCCATATTGGCTTTTTTGGATCACGAGGGTTACGCTGACCACTTTAAGAGCCTCTATGATTTCTCTTTCTCTTTCCTCACATCTTCCTTTTACAGCTTCTCTGAGGAGGATGAACTTGTGGCCTACCTGGAGGCCTCAAGGAAGTGGGCCAAGCGGAGCCACAGGACCTGGGCCCATGCCCGGCTCTGCTTCCTCCTGGGCCGGCTGAGTGTCAGGAAGGTCAAACTCTCTCAGGCCAGGGTGTACTTTGAGGAGGCTGTGTATATCCTTGATGGGGCATTTGAAGACCTATCCTGGTGGCTGCTCTGTATATCAATCTGGCTGCCATCTACCTGAGGCAGAGGCTGAGGCATAAAGGCTCCACTCTGCTGGAGAAAGCAGGTGCTCTGTTGACTTGCCTGCCTGACCGTGAGTCTAGTACCAAGAATGAGCTCGACGTGGTGGCCTATGTACTACGCCAGGGCATTGTGGCAGGCAGCTGTCCTTTGGAGGCCAGGGCCTGTTTCCTGGCCATCCGATTGCTCCTAAGCCTAGGCCGGCATGAGGAGGTCCTGCCCTTTGCTGAGCGCCTACAGCTCCTGTCTGGACACCCTCCTGACTTGGATGCTACAGCCACCATCTTAAGTTTTCTGTATGATAAAAAATATCTTCCACACCTTACAGTGGCCTCCGTCCAGCAACGTGGTACCCAGGGTGGCCAAGGGATGTCCCTTCCAATTTGGCAGGTCTACCTGGTTCTTCAGAATACCACCAAGCTCCTTGGAGTTCCCTTTTCAAACTGGGGTGAAGTTTCTGCCCTGGCCTGCCCAGCACTCAGGCAGGCGCTGGCTGTCTGCGAGGAGCAGAGCAATTGGAGCACCCAGAGGGCCCTGTGTCTCATCCTGTCCAAAGTGTACCTCCAACACAGGTCTCCTGATGGTGCCATCCATTATCTGAGCCAGGCTTTGTTGGTAGGGCAGCTGCTGGGTGAGCAGGAAGCCTTTGAGTCTTCCCTCTGCCTGGCATGGGCTTATCTCTTAGCCAGCCAGGCAAAGAAGGCTTTGGACATCCTCGAGCCACTCCTATACTCCCAGAAGGAGACACCCCAAAAGGGGGTGGTCCAGAACCTCCTGGGACTTGCACTTCAAGGCGAAGGGTGGGTGAACAGGGCAGCCAAGAATTATCTCCGGGCCTTGAACAGAGCAAAGGAAACGGGGAATGTACGCAACCAGGCAGTGACTTTGGCCAATCTTGGCCACCTGACCCTTAAGTCCTGGGCTCAGCAGCCAGCCAAGGACTATCTCCTGCAGGCTGTCCGACTCTATTCTGAACTCCAGACCAGCATGGAGACGGACATGGAATTAGTACAGGTGCTTCTCTGGTTGGCCCAAGTCCTGGTGCATGGACGCCATCTGGCCAGTGGTCGCCTCTGTTATGAAATGGCATTGCTGTTTGGCTTAAGGCATGGACACCTAAAGAGTGAGTATGTCCTGTGCTACTCGAAGCTTTAGAGAAAAGTGTTAGAGCGCGCTTTGCCCTCGCCCTATCCTTAAGCGATCTCATTCGTGTTCCCGCTTTGTGTTCAGGTCAGCTTCAGATCACCAAATCCCTCTGCCATTTCTACAGCTCTGTATCCCCAAACCCCAAGGCATGCATCACCTACCATGAGCACTGGCTGGCCCTGGCTCATCAACTCAGGGACCGAGAGATGGAAGGGAGGCTGCTGGAGTCCCTCGGGCAGCTCTATCGAAACCTGAACACACCCAGGTAAGTCTGGGCTTGGGGGTAGTTCTAGAAACTGCTTATGTTCCTTCAAGGCAGACAGCACTCTTTTCCTCAGGAAGTGACGTTCACATGCATGCGGTGCATTTATGACATTACAGAAAAGAACATGGGCCCTGCAGCCACCGCACAGTGTCTTCTATCGCTATTAGCTGTGCGGCTTTGAGCAAATTACTGAAATTCACTGTACCTCAGCTTCCTCCTTGGAGGCAATAATGGGGGCGTCTACAGTACAGTATTCATATGGGGGATAAATGTGATGATGCACACGGAACCCTTGGAACAGGGCCTGATCCATAGGAGGGGCTTGGTGATGTTGGCTAGGTGACAGTTACCTCCGTGTTTCCTTAAGAACCGTCCTGTGACCGTGGCTGAGGGTGCCTAGGTCAGGGAGTGGGCAGTTATTATACAGGGACTGGAGCCGCCAGGAGGCTGAGGTTACCTGAGGACAGTGGGTATTAGAGAAACGGCACAGAGTTAATTCATCTACCAGCAGGGGAGGGTAAAATCTCACAGTAAAGAAGTTTAATTTGGAACCCTACCTTTACAATGAAACTGGAAGTGATGGAACTATGTTTTATTCTCACAGCTTAGTGAAGACACTTAGGTTAGAATTGCAGCAGTGCAGTAAGTCATGGGATCCATTGCAAAAGAAGTGTTGACGTTTAGCTTAATTGTGTCGACAGAATTGTATAACAGCACCACGAAATATGCTTTGCTTGGTGATTGACTTCTCAACCCTCTCTTGAAAAGTCTCCTTTTTGCAAAAACACACCAAAAGTGAACTGTTTTACCCCAATGCTTCTTTTAATCCCTAGATCTTGAAACTATTCCCGTGTGAAGTATCTTGCTGTCTGTCTCCTGCTGACTTTCTCTTCTCTTGTCTCCTCACCGGGTGGCATCTGCTCACCCATTGCTCTCCAGCGGTGTCGCCTGCAGTTCTGCTTTCCGACAGACTTTTAACTGATTCCATTACATTCTGCATGGTTTGCGAGATATCTGATTTCATTTTGCAACAGATTAGCAGCATCGTGTACATAATTATGACTGGCATCTAAAGTAGACCTGGGATCATTGCTAGTGTTGAGCAGAGAAAGGTGGTTGAGGAGAAGCTCATTGAATGACAAGTTTTGTTTTTCCAGGCAACGTGGAAACGTTGGGTGCCCAGACAACCAGATCCCTAATAATCAGCTAACAAATTCTCTTCCTCTATTTCCCCCTCACTCTGTCTCCTCTCCCTCACCCTTTCCCTCTCTTGCAAGAATCAAGTGTCCTCCAAACCTCCCACTATCTCTGCCTTCAGTTCCAGGAAGGGATCCTTGCAGGATGTGAGGGGACAGGAGCTGTGACCCCAGAGTGACACTGATTCCATTCCAGGACACCCTACAAACATCCTTTTATTGGGGGAGTGGGCTTTAGGTGATTCTTAGTCCATCATTCTGGAAGTTGATCCAGATGAGGGTCTTTTAACCCTAATATTCTATAATTCTAATCTTTGAGATCCTGACTTGTATAACTAGAAAGAAATAAACCTCCCCTTCTCCTGCTTTACCACCAATGGGAGTGAAACAAAGAAGTAGATGGAGAAGTGCCTCAGATGTCAGAGGAAATCCTGCAGACATAAGGTCATTATCCTTTTGCAGAATGCTCAGGCCATCATAGAGAATGTGCTATAATGCTACATTTATTTAGCATGTATAAATCACCTCCTCCTACAGAGTGCCCAGCAGACACAGGTAAACAGGTAATTGCACGTTCCTAGAAGTGGTTACAGTAATTTTGTTCTAAGCTTCCTGGTAGCTGAGGTAAAAAGGGGAAAGCCACATGAGGTTCTCACTGTCTGATAACAAAACAAAACAAAACAAAACAACCATAAACAAATGTATCTGTTGGAGCAAATGTTTTTCTGACAGTGACTTCTAGGAGGTATTTATTAAGTGGGTCTTGATATATGGACAGATTTATTCACACTCTCCCCATGAGATTTCCATCCTCACAAAACTCAAAGGTAAGAAATGGGGGTGCCTGGCTGGCTCAGTTGGTTAAGCATCTGCCTTCAGCTCAGGTCATTATCCCAGGGTCCTGGGATCAAGTCCCACATTGGATTCCATGCTTAACGAGGAGCTTGCTTCTTCCTCTCCTTCTCCCTCTGCCTGATGCTCCCCCTGCTTGTGCTCTATCTCTCTGTCAAATAAGTAAATAAATAAAACCTTTTTTAAAAAAAATGGCAGAAACCACTCCTGTGTGAGATGGCAGGCATCTGCAGAAGTGGGTCTGGAGGGGAAGAAGAGGACACTTTCAGCTGAGGGTTGAGGATCTGACATAGAAGGCTTCGTGAAGGTGGTAGCATCTGAGGAGGGCCTAGAGAGAGGGTAAGCTTTTGGAAAGTAGAAGAGGGTAAGAGGATAAGCATTTCCAGCAGAGGAAATGGCAGTAGCCATGGAAAGATGGGGACACATTTGACACTTGGAGGTATTCTGTAGGTTTGATGAAGGTTGGTGTTCAAGTGGATGGAGGGAGTAAAGGAGAGAGAGGCCTCCTTCCTGTGCCCTAGGAGGGGGTGAGGGGGTGGGCTGGGGTGGGGAGCAGTGGGCCTCCGGACTGGCACAGCGAGCAGCCATAGTGAAGATGGTGGTGGCAGTAGTAACTGATGGCATTCAGTGAGCACACAGCGTTTCCCAAGCAACGTGCATTCTCAGGATAACTACATGTGGCACAGAGAGCTGTAGAAACAGAACAGAAGAAGCCAAGTAATTTGCGTGAACTGCATAGTGTGGATCAATAGCCAGGCTGAGTCTAGCCCAGGGGTCAGCCAACTTTTTGGCAAAAGGCCAGATAGTAAATGCTTTAGGCTTTGTGGCCATGTGGTCTAGTCACAACTCTACTGCAGGTGCGTTGTGCAAACAGCCGTAAACTATGTACGTGAACGGATGGGTGCGGCCGTGTGCCGCTGAGACGCTGCTTACAAGAGCAGGAGGAAGGCTGTGTGGGTTCACAGGCCATAGTTTGCCAACCCCTGGTCTAGAGTCTGTATTCACTTTTTTAAAAGATTTTATTTATTTATTCATGAGAGATACACACACACACACACACACACACACACAGAGAGAGAGAGAGAGAGAGAGAGAGAGAGAGAGGCAGAGACACAGGCAGAGGGAGAAGCAGGCTCCATGCAGGGAGCCCCACGTGGGACTTGATCCCCGGTCTCCAGGATCAGGCCCTGGGCTGAAGGCAGCGCTAAACCGCTGAGCCACTCAGGCTGCCCTAGAGTCCGTATTCTTAACTACTCTGTAGGAATCCTGCCTATTCAGCCAACAGTTTTCACCCTAAATAAAGCATAAATGTGGATGGCTAGAGTGTGAAGCCTCTGGGAGTTGTATGGATGAGAAGGGCTTCATTTCTCATCTGGTCTGACCCCTGCCTATTCCAGAGAGTTTAGATTGGTGACCCACTTGGTGGCCCTGGTAGCAGCCCAGATCCCTGCCTCCTCAATTTAAGAAGGCTTCACTACTCCCTGCTACTTTTCTATTCATGCCTCCTCTTTCAAAGATTTTTCTCTAGGGCGTAGAGGTGGAGGAGGTAGGGGAGGGCAAGCAAATAATGAAAGCTGTGATGGGTTTTTGCTTTGGAATACTTGGCTGTCCCATTGTCCAGTACCTGTTTTCAAAACATATTTATTTATTTATTTATTTATTTATTTATTTATTTATTTATTTATTTATTATTTATTTATTTGAGAGGGAGAGAGAGACCAAGTAGGCAAAGTGACAGGCAGAGGGAGAGGGAGAAGCAGGCTCTGAGCAGACAGCCTGATGCAGGGCTCGATCCTAGCACCCTGGGATCATGACCCGAGCCAAAGGCAGATACTTAACTGACTGAGCCACCCAGGTGTCCCCAGGATCTGGTATTTTCAATATCTCAATGCGCAGGGTCCTTGGGGATCTTGTTTCCTGTCTTTGGGTGACACAATGCAAACTGTACCTTGCTCTAGAGCTGAACCAGGTGGGATCCATGGGAATTTTGAGGTTTTATTGAATCTATGCAACAAATTTTTACTGAGAGTTTTTATTATAGTCTAAAACCTAACAGAGAGATATAGTCCCTGAGCTCACAATGCTTGTATCCTAGCTCAAGAAATTGACAATATTTATATACATATTCTCCAAAAGTATCACATAAATTGTGTTAAGTGCCACATGTGCATATTACCTTTAGAAAGAAGCAATGCATTGGATGCAATAGGTCCTCACAAAATAACAATTGTTTGCATGTGAATATAATAGTAGCCTAGAAGTTATTACTCCTGGCTTTTATTCTCATTCTTAGGCTTCTTATTCCTGTGGAACAAAAAAAGAAATGCCTCAACATTTGGTTTTCAATGTAATTAATATGACCAATCTCTAACATTTCTGTAATCTCAAACAAGGAAAGAACTGCTTTCACTGACATGTCCTTTGATCACTAGGCTATAGGATATACTTCACCATCCCAATTCTGCAGATGAGAAAACTTTGTTCAAGGTTTGAAGTAGCTTATGTTCTTCAAAACTTCTATGTTGTTAGATTGGTAAAAGAAGAAACCTTCCCATATGCTGACTTCTGAGCCTGATATTGAACTTGAGGTATTCAAGTTCAATTCAAGTGCTTGAGGGTGTGTGTGGGGTTCTGGAGTCAAATTCTCAGGGTTAGACTCTGGTTTACATAGCATTTATTATCTGGTCCCTGTCACTCACCTTTTTCTGAGCCTTATTTTTCCCATTCATAAAATGGATATGGATATAATAATGTTATGCTTGCTTAGTGCTGTTGTGATGATTATTATGGGATGATGCATGCCAAGTGCTCAGTAAATGCCAGGGAACAATTACTGTCACGTATTACAAGACAAAACAGCAGAGCGTTCAACATAAAGCTTTAGAAATGAATCATATAAACTTGAACAAGGTAAAAAAGTCCCTGTTGGGTTTCTTTATTTGCATAGTGGGCTACAATCCCTTTCATGACTTAGTGTTTCTGAAGTTTAAATGAGAGAAGATATACTGAGAATTCATATCCCAATACCTGGCACGGGTTCAGCACTTGGTAAGTAGTAGTTCTTATTATGGAAATGGGGCAGAACCAGTTAGTGGAGGCTGGGCCAGAGGTCAGACACTCATTCAGGCAGGGCAGGGATCTGGAAAGTCCCAGTAGGGGAGGGAAAGAGGAAATCTGGGAATGCAGGTGCATCAGAGTCCCTTGGTCCCAAGTTCATGGCTGGGAGCCAGGTAGGAAGGAAAAAATAAGGACTCAGCTATAGAGACTGAACCTCAGGGGCAGGAAAAGTGGGAACCAGAGGACTTGGGGTTGGAGAAGAGGAGAGATACCCTGGCAGGGTCAGGAATAGGTGGTGCAGGAGTGCATGACACTTGTGATGAAGACTGTCCCACCAGCCAGGTTCTTTATTTCTTTTTGATCTGGGAGCTAAAGCACAACTAGAACCTGCCTGCAGGTGTGGCTGAAAAAACTGGGGACACTGGACCATTGCAGGCCCAGCTGGTGACACAGCACTACCACTGGCATGTGCAAACGGTGGGGTGGTGATGGCTGACATAATAAGACCGAGGAGACTGGAAACCACCTCCCATGTTCAGACCTCAAGGCATGTGTTTTTACTGGACATCACGGATCAGGTGTATATGTTGTACATGTCGTACATGTCTCTGGAAAATCTTGCATGCACAAGGGGTCTTGATGGTGCTGTATGAATAGCTAGGCTTCTGTAAGTCTTGCCTATCCCTATGGGGTGTTTCTTGGAGAGAAATACTGATCTCTCATCCACAGTCATATTGAGCTCAGAGAGAAAAGGTCTAAGAAGCAAAGTTCCACTCTTCCTCTATAATTGACTTCTTAGTAATAAACCTAAATCTTGTTCCCCAGGGGTCTGAAGAAAACAACCATAGCCTAAGGGTCTCCCAGGACAGCAAATGGTAATAAAGAAAAGCAGAGCAGGAGATAGGAGGATGAGATGTATGAGTCCTGTCTTTATCAACTGTTCCAGTGGGAGTTGGGAGAGCAGGGCTTGGAAACTCTGCTTGAGGTCTGGGGGTTGGGGAGGAGTAGGGGAGGGAGCAGGCAGGAGAAGCCAGGTCTTCAATAGTAAAAGAGGCCTGCATTTATCCTAACTCAACCAGGAAGGCTGGCGACCAGCTCAGCACTGCGTGCAGCTTCTCAGCTCACGGCATGGTCTCAGCAGCGAGTCTGATATTCTAATACTTGAGAGAAGGTGGCCTGTGCCCATCCTGGGTGTCATAGTAAGAGCTGGGCAGAGGGGAAAACCTGAGTTCTTTCCTCTCAAGACTTGCAAGGGCCAAACGCCTGGCATTTCCTCTAGAAGACCAATAGATGTCTCATTACCAAGATGAATCAGGGCCTCACTAGTCAAAGGTGATGTTTGTTTCCATCACTGTGTACCATAGGGTCTGAGGCTGAATTGCTCATAATGAGGTTCGATGAGGCCCTCCTAACTGTTCATACACTTGGTTGATGATGATAAGTGTTTCTAGAAGGATCTATATGGTTTGGAGCAGTGGTTGGTTCTCAGACTTTGGTGTGCATAAACAATAACCTGGGTGAATTAGAAATCCAGATTCAGGACTTGTACCTGTAATTATTTGGACCTAGTAAGTCTGAGATAGCTCTAGGAGTCCGTGTTTTTAATAAACTCCCAGAAAATGCTGCTGCAGGAGTGCCACAAGTCTCAGAGGAATGTGGGCACTGTGGGATGTGTTCTAGGCTGGGACTCGGGACAAGGGAGTTCTGGCCTCAGATCTTCCCCAGACGTGTTGTGAAACCTTGTGCAAATTACTTCCCACCCCTGCACCTGCACCTGTTTCCTCTATAACGTAAGGGATGGGGTTGGATCTGCAAGTCTGAACCCATGTTCACAGGGAAGTTGCTACTGAGCTTTGATAAAATGCTTCCAGGGTGTCCCAGGCTAGCATGGCATGTCAACATGTTGGGGCCACTTTGCCTGTGTACGGATGTTTTTTTTTTTTTTTAAATATTTATTTATTTATTTAGATTTTATTTATTTATTCATGAGACACACACACACACACACACACACACACACACAGAGGGGCAGAGACACAGGCAGATGGAGAAACAGGCTCCATTCAGGGAGCCTGATTGGGACTTGATCCTGGATCACACCCTGGGCCGAAAGCAGATGCTCAAGCAGATGCTGAGCTACCCAGGGATCCCTGTGTACGGATGTTTTTTTTTTTTTTTTTTTTTTTTTTTCTGTGTACGGATGTTTAAAAAGCTTCTGGGTGATTCTAGTTGCTGGAATGGAGAACTGCTAAATGGTGCCCAATGTTCCTTCTTGTTCTAGAATTCTGAATCTGTGCCACACTACATTACCTATGCCTCATTTCTTCATTAATCCCTGTCATGGGGGAAGAGTTTTCTACATAAGACAATTTTCCAGATAATTAGAGTCCTCCATTAAGCACCAATATTTAAAACTTTTGCCCTTCTTTGATTTTTCTTCTTAAACAAAACATCAACATCTTTTTGATGATTTTAGGTCACCACTATGATCATTGGTTTGTGCATTTATTCAATAACAATGCATTGGGGATATCCTGTGTATTAGGTGCTCATGGGAAAAAAATGTCATAGTATAGCTAAAAGGTGGATGGGCCATGGGCCATAATAATAAAAGTGACAACTACTGTGAGCATTCATCACTGTTACTCTATGGGGGGCACTGTTCTGGGCACTCCAACCTCATCTCTCATTTAATCCTTACAACAATCCTCTGAAGGCAGGTACAAAGATACTCCCATTTTACAGGTGGGGAAACTAAGGCACAGAAAAGTTTTATATGTCAAGTTTGCACAGATATTTGAAGCAGAGCCAGGATTCAAATCAGGCCCCAACCTCTCCGTGTGATCAGGATCAATGTTGCTCCCTCCCAGAACCTCAGTTTCCTCCAGTGCTGAGTGACTCCGAGGCCCCTGGGAGGGGTCCCTGGACTCACACCTAATGGGTCTGTGTCTACCCCCACCCCTGCCAGGTCTCTCAGGAAGTCTCTCATCTGCATCAAGGAGAGCCTGCGTATCTTCATTGACCTTGGGGAGAACGACAAGGCTGCTGAGGCCTGGCTCGGAGCTGGGCGACTCTACTACCTCATGCAGGAAGATGAACTGGTGGAGCTGTACCTGCAGGTAGGCCTCCTGCAGAGCTCATCTTCCCACTTGGGCCTCTGGGGGAGACAGCTGTATCCTCCAGAGTGACCAGCTATAGCTAGAGAGAGGTGGTGTCCATGCTGAGCCTTAGAGGGAGGGTCGACCCTGGGATGTTTCCCAGGCACAAGATAGAATCCAGGGTGGTTGGCTGACCATCAGTCCCCAAGTCCCAGATACATGTGTGAGCTCTCAAAGAATGTAGTAGGAGACTTGCTCATTTGCCATGTCAAGTAGATAATTTTTTGCTAAGCTCAACACACACCTTGACTTTGGGGTTTTGCTGCAATGTGAGGCAAGGTTGATGTATGTAGGGCATTAACTTTATCGTCCTCTTCTAGTCTTTTTGTTTGTGTCCCTTTAATACCTGAGGTATGGTGAGTGTAGTGATGAAAGGCCTGGGCTTTGGAGAGAGACAGGCCTGGAATCCAATCACAGGGCCATCGATCACGGCTGTGTGACCTTGGGCTTGCTACATCAGCTACTTCCAATACATCACAGAGCCTCAGTGTCTCATGGATAAACCCTATCTCTTAGGGTCAGGGTTAGGTGTGTCACTTGCATAGTAAATGCATATGCAAAGCAATCATCTCCTAAGTGCATGGGACTTAGTAAATTCTTAATGGTATTTTATTATTATTAAAAATCTATTATTATTATTATTATTATTATTATTATTAAAAAATCCCTTGGATTTTTCTTTTTAATCATCATTTCTATTGTTTGCACGATGCTGACATTTTATATGATTTGTTCCATTGAAAATACACCAACTATCTTTTCTTCCTTCCCATTTTTAATTTTCTCCCTTTTTATTCCCCTTATTACTTAAACTCACACAAACCCACTTCCACCAAGGCTTAATTCTGGCTGTGTGACATTGAGTGTGGGCTTACTATGCACAGGAGACTTTGCAAGCACATTGATTGCATACCTGCTGAAATTACACCCTCACTGCAAATGCAGCAGGAGTTTTACTCCAACTCCCATTTTACGGATGTGACTTAATGAGCCTGAGTAACTGCCCCAGGTGATACAGCTAATAAGTGGTGAAAACTGCACACAGACAGGGTGACATAAAGCCTCCACTCCCAGCCTCTATACTATTCTACTGTGGGATGTTAGAGCTGGAAGCGTTTTTTGGAAAGCAGATAATTAGGTCTCGCCTTTGGCTCTCCAGGAGGCGAGGCCCAGAGGGAGCCACTTGGGTTGTGCAGTGCTGGGCAGCAGAACCTCCTGATGCCAGGATTCCATTTCCCTCTCTGCTCCTCTGTGCAGCTAGGCAGTAATAAGTACGGCGGGGTCTTGTCCCAGAGACTCACTGGCCAGGCCTGGTCCCAGGCCCATGCAGCCCCAGACTGCTAGGACTGCTACCTGCTGTTCCACAGGGTCAGTCTCAACCTCAGGCTCTTTGCAGTCCCATAGCTGTGCTGCAGATGCTGTGGGGGGTACATCCTCCCCTTTGGCTTCCTCCCTGCCTTCTGTTGAGATGCAATAGGGAAGCGCTTTCGAGAGATAAAGAGGTCCTGGGCGGTAGGAGAAGGGTACAGGGCTGGGAGACACTAACATTTCTTTGCTACTATTATGTAAATGCAGAATTTCCTCCTCCTTTTGGAGCCTCTGTTTTTCAGCCCTCTTCTGGGATCTCCTGGATTCTGTCTATGACAGAGCACTCCTGTGGTCTCCGGCTTGCTTCTCAGACAAGTCTCTCCTTTGCTGACTTCTTTCTGTTAAAATGTAGATGTTCCCCCAAAAATCTCTCTCCCTCTTCCCCCTCCTGCTGTCTCTCCTTCCCCCACTGCCTTCCTTGGGAATCACACCCAACCCTACTGATTTATGCCCTTCTTTATTCAGATACCCTTCCCCCCACTTGCACATTTAACTCTCTGCTGGATATTGTCATGTGGATAATCTCAGATTCAATCTGTCCAAAGATCAATCTCACTCTTGCTTCCCTCACCCAACCATCTTTTCTTCTAGCGTGCTTTTTCCCAGTTGCCTCAGCTGAAAACTCTAGTCAGTGACTTCTTTATTCACTCACTCACTCACTCACTCACTCATACTACCAGTATTCTTTGATCATCTACTCTGCCAAGCACTGTTCTTGACCCTGGGGCTGTGGCAGGGAAGAAGGGAGTCACATTTGCTCTCACAGCATTCAGTTAACTGGGGAGAAAGACAGTGGACATAAGATGACACAAGGAATTAACTGGTGAGTTAAAATTGAGATGGGGTGCTGAGAGAGAAGCCCGGAGACTAGCTTCAAGGTGCATCCTGCATCCACACCCTCTTGTCCTAGATCTGCTAATGTTTTCGTTCAGGGCATTGGGGTTCTGGATTTGTGTGTAACCTCGAAGTCTGTCCCTTCCTCAGCTCTCATCCATCCCCCATGTGGCTGTCCAACTAATTGTCCCAAAGGGCAGATCTGCTCATCAAACACACCCTGCGTTTCTCCATCTGCAAATTGTAGGTGTTAGATGAGAGCAGTTTTCCAGACTGCAGCCATGTATGGATGAAGTTCATGGTTTTATCACCTTCATGTATTTTCTGTACCATTGTTTCCTTTGGCTCAACTTCAAATCAACTTAGCTTTCTACACTAAATAACACTATCTGAAATCACAGGTGTGGATGTATTACCAATCTTTTTCTTTAAAACACATGAAAATAAATACTTTTTTAAAAAAGATTTTACTTATTTATTCACAAGATACACACACACACAGAGAGAAAGAGACAGAGACAGAGAGAGAGAGAGAGAGAGAGAGAGAGAGAGAGAGGCAGAGACACAGGCAGAGGGAGAAGCAGGCTCCATGCAGGGAGCCTGACGTGGGACTCAATCCCAGATCTCCAGGATCAGGCCCTGGGCTGAAGGCGGCACTAAACTGCTAAGCCACCGGGGCTGCCCAATACTTAACTTTCAAACATAAAATGTTTGTTTAGGTGCTGCTAAAAGTCATCTCTAGGGTACCAAAGTAATCTCTCATACCACGATGGGGAAGTGCCAGACCAAGGAATTACAAAGGCTTCTTGTGGGCCCTATGAGCATGGAGGACAATTCAGTGTTCAGAGGATGTGAGCAGAGGCTTAAACCAGGTGGTCAGGATCTCGCTTCTACAGCTCATGTGGACATTTGGAAGTCCTCTCTACCTTTGACACCTGTCTCTGTCCCATCCAGGCAGCCATCCAGAAAGCCCTGAAGTCTGAGGAGCCCTCTCTGGCTCTCAAACTCTATGAAGAAGCAGGTGACGTGTTCTTCAATGGGACCCGCCACAGGCACCGTGCTGTGGAGTATTACCGAGTAAGTCCTGGGCTGCACAGTGCGTGAAGCCAGGCCTGGGCACAAGTGTGGGCAGGGACACATGGCCTGGGGTCCCTTTCCCTTCTCTCACTGGTATTCCTTTTTCTTTTCTTTCTCATCCAGTACCCACGTGTTCTCCCTTTTTTTCAGCCAACAGATTCTCAAAGAAGGGGTTGGTCAACTGTCATTCCTAGGCTTGATAAATGATTCTTTCTGAGAAAACACATCAAAATAAATACATCTCTTGGGTGCATGGTATTTTACAGCTTCTTGCAGACTTCTGTGTTTACCAGAATGTTCCGTCTACCACCTGTGGCATGGTGGGAGATGTTGGGTCCACGGATGAACACTTCCGTTTTACTTGTTTTTGTTTTACTTTGTTTTTATTAAGTGTGCATTAAAATATATTTTAAAAATTAAAAATGTGTAACACCCAGCTCATCAAAACCGTGATTTCACAGATGTTATTGCAAAGATGAGGCAAAATAATAAGAGAGAGTTGATTTAAAAAATAATGGCAGTTAAATAATTGTGCAGATGTTAAGCAAGTATGTCAAAACTATAATTGATCATCACTGACTGAAGGTTGGAAAGCTCATCATCTTGTTTGACCTTAGAATTTCATTTATTCATTCATTTGTTTGTTCAGCTCTTTGTTTAGTCATCAAACATTTATCAAACACCCAGTATGTGCCAGGCACTGAGCATGTTCCTGCCTATTGAGCTACTCATTGTCATATGCACTTTATAGATGAGAAAATTAAGTCTAGAGAGATGAAGTGACCTACTTAAAATTCTATCATAATAAAAATAATAGAAGTGACTATTTATTGGGCACTCTCAGATACCATGAGCATACTCCACAGATTGTGCTGTGGGTGCTAATGGAGCATGTGGCTGGGAGGTGAAGAAGTTCCCATGTGGCTTCGAGAAACATCATCTTTCTTTTCCTGATCTCCACTTTTTTTAGTCTTAGGAGGCCTGGTGATCTTTAATTCTCCTACTTCTAAAATCTGGGCAGAGCAACCTGAACAAGGACCTGGAGAATGAGCTGTGACAAGCCATGCATAGAAACATGGCCACTTCCCCCAACCCCTACCGGCAGAATGTAAGCCCCCCTGGAGTATGGTCTGTACCAAAGATTCTTAGCTGGACTAAGCTTCCATGTACTTCTGTTCTCAGGCTGGGGCTGTTCCTCTAGCAAGAAGGATGAAAGCCATGAGAACAGAGCTGCGGGTTTTCAACAAGCTGACGGAGCTGCAGATCAGTCTGGAAGGCTATGAGAAGGCTTTGGAGTTTGCCACCCTGGCGGCCAGACTCAGCACAGTCATAGGTAGGTGGTCCTGGTGGTCTGCCATATTGAATGGGAGGGCCAACCACTTATCCAACCGTGGGGGAAAGCAAAGCAGTAACAGCAGAGGCTCTGGAATTGGACTGTGTGGGTTCAAATCTTGAGTCCAATTGTTCAAGGTGTCTTAACCGTAAACAAGCTGCTTAATGTCTATAAGCCACAAGTGTGTCATTGGCAAATCAGGATTAAAAATAGCACCCACCTCATGTGGTGGTTATGAAGACCAGTGATGATCCACGTAAAACCCACAGCACAGTTCTGGGTACATAAGTCCTTGCTGAGCGCGACCTGTGCCACACTGATTATCATACCACCGTTGCTATTATTCCCCACTGCGGGGTAGATAGTACTTTATCCTATGCACAGCCAGTGCCCCTGTTACCCAAGGTCTCTGCCCTAAATTTTTAATCGGTTGATTGTTAGTCCAAAGCACATTTTCCATGCAGAATTGCAAAGAAAATGAAGATCAGATTCTCATGAACTGAACTCATTGTGTAGCTGAAAAAGCTTGCAATTTCCAAAGAAGGTAGTGTGAAACAATGTGCATCATTAAAACAGGAAAAAGGCAGAATTTAAAAAAAAAAAAAAGATTAAAAAAAAAAAAAAACACCCTCCCCTTGAATGCTGGTCTTAAGGAAAAGCAGGTTTGATTAGAGAAGGCTTGATTCAATGTAGGGGCAAATGGAGTCTTCTGAGATGATTCTGGGCATTCTCAAGGGCCGGAGATGTGGATGGCACTGGACTTTATTGTGTCTAATTGCACTTCAGAGTTCTCTCTCTCTTTTTCCTACCTTTTTCTTTACTGCAGAAAATCTTATCTGAGTGACAGTCTGCTATCTCAGGAAAGGCCATGGGAGCCCCAGGCAGCTCCCTTTCTGAGCACTCTTTGTCCTTCCCTGGACAGAAGCTGAAAGGAGGCTATATCCACTCTTTTATGCACTTCCCCGAGACTGGATTTTTCCATATCAGAGAGTTTTCTCTCCCATGGATTTTTTTCTTTCATTTCTGGCTTTTGTCTCTTTGAAGCTTAAAAGTGATGTTTTTTAGACTGCATCAAACAGCCACCTTGCAAATATTCCAAAAACACAATGGGAAGCCTTTGTTCTCTTTAAAGGGCCACTTTGTGTTAAAGGAGTTGGTGATTAAAACAACAGACCCACCAAAAACCAAAACAACAAATCATAGACCCATTAGAAACCAAGGTTCTAAAGCATGGGTTAACAGCGAGGGGTGGGGGTCTTTGTAGTCATCTGAGACCTTGAGCTTGTGAAGGAGCCAGAGGGTAACTGCTACTGGTGGCAGTCCCAGGGAGCCCTCTGAAGAGGGAGACTTTCATGTGGAGAAGACGTTTGTACTAAAGAGTTATTCATTACAAAGAATCTTTAGTTCCCCATCAAACTAGTCTTGTCACCATGTCTCATTACAGGGATATGGAAATAATTATTTCCCAGAATCTTGAGTTCAGAATCTTGAGTTATAGAGACATCTATAATAAAGAGAAAGCTTTTTTTTTTTTTTCCGGAAATCATCCTATAAAATCTTGACCAGCACACATGCTCTAAGCAGTCACTCCTAGACCCTGGTGTTTTCTTTTGCGTCACTTATCACAGGTGTAATTTTGCCTTTGTGTGTGAGATTATTTAAGGAACATCTGTGTCCTATGAGATGATGAACCTCACCCAAGGGCAGAGACCTCCTCTGCTTTGTTCTGTATATCCCAAGCACAGTTCCTGATCCCTAGAAGACCTTCAAAAAACAGTGCAGAATGGGTGAGTGGTAGGGTGCAATGAAGCGTTGGCTGCAAGATCTCTCCCTCAGTCTTCCAATTCCTAGGAGATCAGAAGCAGGAGCTGGTGGCCTTTCACCGTCTGGCTACAGTGTACTATTCCCTGAGCATGTATGAGATGGCTGAGGACTGCTACCTGAAGACTCTGTCCCTCTGTCCACCGTGGCTACAGAGTCCCAAGGAGGCCCTATACTACGCGAAGGTATATTATCGCCTGGGCCGACTCACCTTCTACCAGTTGAAGGTAAGAGCCAGGCTTACAAAGTTGTGCCAGGCTGCATTCCAACCCTATCCTCCCCTGACCCTCATCCTTTAGGGTGGAGTTGAGTGGGCCAAAATGAGGAGTCATCTCATCTCATAGGGTGGGGAGTGACTCCTCCAGGGACACGATGGCTCTTTTCACGTAGCCCCATGGGAGACCTCAAAGATGCTCCTGTCTACTGAGGAGAAGGATCATAGCTCTTCTTTCTCCTTGCCCTGCTGTGTTTCCATAGCCACTTTATCTGTCAGGTCCTATGGGGACATTGCCCAGTGTCTATGATTTCCTCAGGGACCTATAGAAATATATGAGATGAGGGACGCCTGGGTGGCTCAATGGTTGAACATCTGCCTTTGGCTCAGGGTGTAATCCTGGGGTCCTGGGATCAAGGCCCGCATCAGGCTCCCTGCATTGAGCCTGCTTCTCTCTCTGCCTGTGTCTCTGCCTCTCTCTCATTCTGTGTCTCTCATGAATAAATAAAATCTTCAAAAGAGAGAAATATACAAGATGCAAAACAAAAGAACTGTAAACTCCAACATTAAAATCAAAATTAATACTTAACTGTGCATCTTCCAAATATTTTATTTTATTTTTCCAAATATTTTAGATTAACTAGTCAGTCACAACATACTTTTTTTTTTTTTTAAAGATTTTATTTATTTATTCATGAGAAACACACACACACAGAGAGAGAGAGAGAGAGAGAGAGGCAGAGACACAGGCCTAGAGAGATGCAGGCTCCATGCAGGGAGCCTGACGTGGGACTGGATCCCGGGTCTCCAGGATCAGGCCCTGGGCTGAAGGTGGCGCTAAACCACTGAGCCACCCAGCTGCCCCACAACATACTTCTTATAAAGTCGTATAAAACTCTAGGAGAAACCTGGGTACATGTTAACATGTTCGAGAGAGTGAGGGTGGTATCTACAAATGCAGGCATGCCTATGTCCTAAAGAGGCCATAGCCCTGACTCTCCTGTTTGCTTGGCGGGAATTGAACCCAGAGCTCTTATTTTCCCAACCACTTCTAGAGCTGTGTTGGTGGTCCAAAAGTCTCTGTTACAATTCTGGCCCTCGAATTTTGTCCCTGGCACCGGCTTCCCTTTACCAGAGGTCCCTGTCTGCACCAGCGCAGCCCTAAATCTCTTAATATTCTTCTGAGTCACGCCTGTGTTTGGCCCCCAGGGGAACCTCAGGGCAACTCTGCTGTCCTTTTCTTATTTGACAGACGTGGTTTCTGGCCTGAATTAATTATTAACTTACGAGGGTTAATGGGAACCAGACATCCCTTTTTGAATCTCACCCAAAGAAGCATCTGTTCCTCATTCCCACCATGTGGGGAAGGATGACGGAGTAGTGAAGGACTCCTTGGCCATCTTGCCTCTGTCCCATAGCTCCCCAGAAGTGGTTTAGGGACAAAGTGCTTGTGATCAGCCCCCCAATCAAGGGAATCTAGGGATTGCAAGGCGGAAGACTTCAACTCGAATTAGCTTTAGCAAAAAGGGTGATTTATTGGCTCAAGTGACTGGGAAGTTCGAGTATAAATTTAGGAGTTTTAGGTAGTTCTGGATGCTGGTACTCAAATGTACACATTTCCTTGCCTTTTCCTGTTTCTCTTTGCTCTGTATGTTTCTATCTCTCTCTGTCTCTTAATGTCCTGTGTGTTCAGCTATTGGTAGGCTCAAGCCCACAGCTGAAAGGGCGAGGGAACATTTACTCTGTTAGATCACCCTGAGAGGTTCCAGGGAGTGACTGAGCCCAGTCAGCTGGAGTCATTTACGAATCCCTGAGGCACCAGGCCTGGGACGATGGTGCCTCATGATTGGCTGCTCCTGGGTGAGGTGCCACCCCTGTGCCTGAGGTATAGGGCCAGTGGAGAGAGCAGCTGGTCCACAGCAGGGCGGGGAAGGAGCACCCCCAGAAACTAGGAGAAGTGGGGGATCCCTGGGTGGCTTAGCGGTTTAGCACCGCCTTCAGCCCAGGGGGTAATCCTGGAGACCAGGGATCAAGTCCCATGTCAGGCTTCCTGCATGGAGTCTGCTTCTTCTGCCTCTACCTATCTCTCTCTCTCTCTCTCTCTCTCTCTCTCTCTCTCTCTCTCTGTCTTGAATAAATAAATAAAACCTTAAAAAAAAGGAGAAACTAGGAGAAGGGGATGGGAAAGTGCATGGGACAGACAAAAGCTCTAGTTCTGAGTTCTGGCACTGCCTCTTGGCTTCTCCTGGAAATATTTGCTTATTGCTATCTCTTCTCTGCCCCCCTGCAATGGGGTTAGGATGCCCACGATGCCACCGAGTACTTCTGGCTGGCCCTGGCAGCAGCAGTCCTGCTGGATGACAAGGAGCTGCAGGACACCATTAGGAGCAGGCTGGACATCATCTGTCGGAGCTCCCTGTGGCACAGCAGCCCCTTCGGGCGCTCCTCGGAGAGGGCGCGGTGGCTGAGTGGTGGGGGGCTGGCCCTCTGAGGGGAGCTGTGCCACATCTGATCAGTGGCCTTGGCTGGTGACCAGAGCTGCCTCCCTGCCCTGGGCTCCTACACAGGAGGGTCCATGTCATCCCCTGGCCCAGGTCCTGGTCTTACAACGGGGATGAGCACAGCCCAGAGGGAGAGGGGCTCATTCCAGGTCGGCCCCACAAGGAGGGGATGACAGGGCAGGGATTGGAAGTCCTGGCTCTGTGACTAGAGCCTTCCCAGTAGACTGTGGCCCATGCACCCGTACAGCCTCTGAAATGCACTTTCTCAACGTGCAGTTCTCCTAAAGAAATTGAGAGACCTTGCCCCTAAGGGGGAGCTTCTCTCCTGCCCACAGTGAGGAACCCCGGCACTGCCCTGGAGAGAAGGCAAGCCCTTAGGCCTTTGCTCCCCTCGCTGACTTTTCTCAGGGAAAGCCCCCTCCCCTTGCCGGCAGAGGAACTGGTAGTTTCTGTCTTCCCTTTCCTCAGCCAAAGGAGGTGCCACTCCTCCTGCTCTTGGGGATCCGTAGGTGGGAATTCACCATGCTTTTAGCTCAAAAGATGGCCTCAGAATGGCACAGGGCCTGGGGTCTGATGCCGATTCATCTCCATCCTGCCTGAGGCTCTGCTCCTGCCTTAACCTCTCGGAAACTTCAGGAGGCTCCCCGAGGGCCAAGGCTGAAACACTGAACACTAAGAAAACTATGACATAAATTATATGTAAATAGTGTATATGATTAAATACTGCTCATCTACATTTATGCACATGTCTCCTTTCTAATAGGGAGAGATGAGATGGGAGGCTTGAGGGATGGGTTAAATACCAAGAGATTTCAGGGAAGCTCCTCGACAAAGCATCTCTATTAGTTATCTGTTACTGCATAACACGTGGGGTGCCTTGAAACACCCATCACCCCACAGTCTGTGCAGGAAGACAGGAACTCAAGTGTGGTTTAGCTGGTCTTCTGGCTCGGGGTGGCTCACAAGGCTACAATCAAGGCGTCAGCTGCTGTCTTCTCAAGCTTAGGGGAAGGCTCCACTTCCAAACTCACTCCCACGGCTGTTGGCAAGGGTCAGTTCCTTGTTTGCTGTTGCAAGAGGCTGCCCCCAGGCCCCCATAATCATGTGGGCGTCTCCACAGGGCAGCTTGCAACATGGCAGCCGGCTTCATCAGAGAGCAAGTGAGTGAGAGAGAGCCAAGTGAAAGGACAGAGTCTTATTGTAACCTCATCTCAGAAGTGACATCCAATTAGTTTTTTGCCTGTTCTAATAATTATAAGTGTTTCGCTAGCTCCAGTCCACACAAAAAAAATGGAGGGATATACCCAGGGTGTGAATACCAGGAGACAGAGAACCATTGGGGGCCCTTCAGAAGCTGCCTATCACCGTATGAGTTCCTTGATGATGGCATCAGGAAGTCCCTAAGGCAGTGAACTCCAAGTATGGTCCACGGACTGGACCAGCTGCATCAGCCTCACCTGTGAGATGGTTTGAAATGCAAATTCTGGGGCCCACTTAAGGCCTCTGAATCATATCTCTGGAGTCCTCTGGAGTCAGAGAGCTCTTGCTCTCTGAATGGTTCTAATGTACAGGAAAGCATTAGGAACACTGCTGTGGAGCCACAGATCTCAGATAATATGCAAAAGAATCACCTGGGGAACTTGGTGAAAATGAACTTTCTGGTTCCTACTCCAGTAATTCTGATTCAGTACGTTTGAGAGATACAGGTATATGCAGTTTTAAATGAGCAACTCAAGTGATCCTGATGCAGGGGATTCACCCTTGTTCTGAAACGTGAGACCATACAAGAAGATCTAGTTGTAAGGCTCTCCACCTGATGCCCAGCAGCTTAGATATTGTGTCAGACCCTCTACCCTTAATTCTACTTCTTGGGCCAACCAGGTGGTTGGTGGTGTGGTAGGTTGGGATTGGGGTGGTGAGTTGAGTCAACATGGCATCTTCTAGTCATCAAGGTTGTCTACACATCAGTACATCTTATTTTCTTTTAGGAGCTTGGTTGGTGGTCAAAAAGCTCTCCGTTCTAGAATATTCTTCTCAGAGGAGGAAATAAAGTGACCTAATCCACTACCATGCAAAATAGATGTGATTTTGTTCCCACCACAAACCATGAAATCCCTGAGCAGGGAGGGATGTTGTGGATGGGTCTAACCTCCCAGGCAGAGTCCTTTCAACAACATTCCTGGGAGACAGACAGGGGCACATGCGTTCCAGAACAGTCATGCATCTTATTTTGAAGAGAGCTTGCTTGGCGCTGGAGCCCATGCCATGAACCATCCCCATTTGTCTCAGGTTACAGCCCCTCTCCCTTTTCCCACTGACCTATTGCTCTCCTCTGGCCAGATGCCAATTTCAGCTCCCCTGAAAGTGTGCTTCCCATAATACTCCTGGCTTTGGGACTGGCTTATGGAGAATACAGAAGATGTTACTGTACTTAATGTAATTTAGTTTGTATTTTAACATTGCCTTAAGATGTTCCTTCTCTCCAGCAATCACACCTTACCTCTGGCTCACATTCAGCTTATGATCAGTTGAAATCTCCCATGTGAGCTTCTGTTTCTCTAGATCTTAATTGCAACAGATCTATATATGTAAAATAAATGTGTGTGTGAGTGTGTGTGTGTATCCTATATTTATTTATTTTTAAGAGAAGGGCATTATATCTACATATTTTATTTTATTTTAAAAATATATCTACATATTTTATATTTCATTGGAATTTTGGCTAGAATTTTCTGATTCTATGCACTTTGGTTCATCTGTAAACCTGGTAAATTTGCCTATATCCAGATAAGTTATAAAAATGTTCAACATATTTCCAAAGATGAGGGTAGGATTATTTTTTAAAGGAGAGAAACATTGCACTGTATCAGTGCAATGACTGCAACATATATGAAATTGCTCTGCTAAAATAGTCTTTGAAAGTGTTTAAGAATCCCACTTAAAAAATATGGTTAGCTATTCCCCTTGGAATCATATTGATGCTTCCCTCCCTCCCGCTCCCCCCATTTTTCATTTTTCATTCACCTTTCTAGCCAAAGGTGAATGAATCAGTTACCCTCTTTATCCTAATCTTTCCCTAAAACTTCTGAGACCCATCTGGCTCCTGGCTGCTTGTACCTAACCTGAATAAAGAACAAGAAGGGGAAAAAAAAAAAAAGAACAAGAAGGGAATTACAGCATTGTGGCAAACCCCATAATGTATTTTCTTAGCTTTCAGGTGCATTTGTTTCCTACCCAAAGGTGTTGACATTCTGAAATCCAATATTGCTTTGATCCTTTTCTTGCTTGCTTCTTGGTTATTTTAAGACGTCTGCATATTACATCTCTTCCTGTGTGCGTGCGTGTGCGTGGTTGCTTGTGCTTTATAAGTAACACATAACTCTTTTGACAGAAGTTTACCTGGGGAAGGGAGTATATAGGAGTGGAAAGTGTCAGAATTAGGGGGAGAAACATCATTAGGTTCGTGGAGACCTGTTTTTTGGTCCTGAATTTGACATTAAATTGCACTGTGACCCTGGGCAAGTCATTGAGCCTCTATACCTGTTAGATCTTTGAGCTGTGATATAAAAAGGATAATCACCTCTAGGTTCCTTCTCAGCAATGTTATTTCCATACCATATGAGCAGGAAAAGAGATTTGTATCTGGGAGATGGAATCATATATTTGTATAACCCCATTCTATTCTCTTCTTTTTACAGGAATAAACTGAGAAACAGAAAAGTAATTTTTTCCCAGTTACACAGTTACTAATGGCAAAGACTGCAGTGACTGGATCTCACGACCCAAGGAATTAGTGACACTAATGACAGTGCTTCTCTTACTCAGGGTGACCTTCATGCAGGGATGCATGTGTGTGATGTGTGTTTGCACTTATGCATTTTCCACTGTATATGCCGTCTGAACAACCATTTATCAAACTTTTTCTAACTCGTATAAACTTTTTCTTTACTCATATAAATTAATTTTATAAAGAATGGCTGATCTATGTTGAAGGAAAACACATGTTTTGCTTCCTTAAATAGAACTTTATAAATCAAAACAAATAGTGAAAACAAACAACGCACGACACTCAAGCTAGGTCCTGTTGTCCACAGCCAGTGACTGGCCTTGGCTTGATCTGCCATTATTTGACAATAAAAAGATGAACAAGTGGCAGGGAGTGTTGCAGACAGACTGACACGGTTCTCTTTGAGTAATCAAAGAAATGGAGAAAGCAACATCACGGACTGAAATCCTCACAATGACAGCCAGTGCTATTCAATGTCTTGCCTGGCATATTCTTCCCCCTTCAGGGAAGTGGGGACTCAGTTTTGTAAGATTGAAGGGGAAAATATGTATATGATCCAGGGTGGGAAGCTCTGTGATGGGAGTTATTACAGAGTGTTATGGGAACTCAGGGGAAGGCACTTAATCCAGCATGGGACCCTAGGCATCAGGGAAGACTTCCTGGAAGAAATGACGTCTAAACTGAGTCAGAGAGAGAGAGATCTATTTAATTCCAGTTGCTGGGGGGTATGGCGTTGACAGGGCCTGTGTCAAGCAAATTCCAGAAGGTAGAGGGGCCCTGGTATCTTCTGAAAACAGCAGTGAATTTAGTAAAGCTGGAGCAGAGTCAGGGAAGTAGAGAAGGAAAAGTGAGAGAAGATGCTAGAGAGGAAGCTGAGGGTGAGAAGGAATCATGGAAAGGTTCTAAGCAGGAGGAAGAGACATGATCAAATTTGTCTGCTACAAAGATGATTCTGGAATGAGAATGGATGACAGGGCCCTGGGAAGGCAGCTGGGAAGCCACTAGGACCTTGCTATGATGACACTACCCTTCAACCTTTACTTGGATTTCTTCAGTTTCCCCACTGAAGTCCTTTTGGTGATCCAGAAACCCACGGTACCATGCTGCATTTCTCTGTCATGTTCCCCTAGTTGTCTCTGGTCTTGGAAAGTTTCTCAGTCTTTCCTTATTTTCATGACCTTGGTTGGCCATTGTGACCTCCTTCCTTTTTGATAACTGCTCCCATTGAGGTGTGTGGACAAGGGGAGGAGAGGAAGGAGAAATCCCAGGAAGCCTGGCACACTGAGTCAGAAGAATCTGGCTCTTACCAGCTGTGCGACTTTTGGCAAATTCATTCAGATCTCTGAGCCCGGTGCTGTCCGAATTAGATCAGATGACACACATAAAAGTGCTGAGCACACACTGCCTGGCACATGGTTTAAATGTTAGATGATCTCACAGATTTGTTTACCTTCTTTATTTTTTAGACAAGGAAATGGCTGAAGCACATCTCTCTCTGGGGTAGGACTTTACCCAAGGAAGAAAGAAGTTTGATTCAAGACTCAAAACAAGTGAGGCAATTAAAAAAAAAAAGATATTTATTTCTTTGAGAGAGAGAGAGATAGAGTGAGATACTGAGAGCTGGAGCAGGGTGAGGGGCAGAGGGAGAAGCAGATTCCCCACTGAGCAGGGAGCCCGATGTGGGGCTCGATCCCAGGACTCCAGGATCATGACCTGAGCTGGAGGCAGATGCTTAACCTATTGAGCCACCCAGTGCCCCCAAATGAGGTTATTTTTAAAGGGAGTTAATATAAATGGTTGATGTTATAAAAAAATGCCTGACCCCATTCATTAATTTATTTTAAAGTCAAGATTTAAGCTTTCTTTCCTACTGTGTCTTTTTTGCCACTTTACAATTCAATCATGTGTTTCTTGATGTAAGCCTTGAAGTCTCCTCGGGGAAGCAGA